AGTTAAAACATTATCATGATTATAGGTCATATGTCATCTTTTACATTAGGAAAAATAAAAAGGAGTTCATGGGTTTGCAAGTGTCATACTTTTGACACCCACACGCAATCAGGCACACCTTTGCATTTGCCCTGTAGCAAAGTCACAAGTGCCTCAATACAAAAGGATTCCTTCAGCAGTTTACAGTAAGTGTCTCATGTGTTTGTCACTTGCATGTTGTTGATTCAATCACTTTATTACATCTCTGCTGCGTATGCCTTTTTATATCAACTTCATTTTTGATTTGTATCTATTGTCTTTTTGTCAGGGAGTTCAGAGAGCTCGGCGTATTATTAGGCAAAGTTTCAAATGTATATTTAGTGCCATGGTAACATGATTGAAAAATGAAACCACACTATACTGTATGGCACAATTAAGTAGCACACAGCTCCATGCAAGGTGGATCTGTGGTGACATGCTGAGCTGGGTTTTTTTTTAGTGATGGCATAAATTCTATAGCTTGGTTTGACAGATTTAATAGATAAGATAGGTATATGTCACTTTACTACAGTTTCCATCTTTCCTGCTGACTGCTCAGAGAAAGGAGTGTCCTCATAATGGGCCTAGCTGTTTGAATGAAGACCAAGTTAAACTTCTTCACATTGATTACAGCCCCTTATTTTCTGTTTACAGTGTGGTTACCATGATAAACAAATGCTTACTGTACGTAATGGAAATATTAACCCTGTCAGGCCCTGTAATTGTTTTCTTCGCTTTAACGTATTTGCTCTGTGGGAGTTGACAGGTGTGGCCAGTGTCGACACCTTAGGAAGTGAGTCATCAGAGCCAAATGTGCTCATGTCAATTTGAGGATTGTCAAATTGTTTGAAAAGAAAAATATATGTCTTTTTCATCAGCTTAAATCCATGAATGAATTCACTGAATATCTACTCTAGTTATTTGATAAGTGTGTTACATCTTTATATCACCGCAGTGTTTCATTGATGTTTTAAGACAAAAATGAAGCTGGATTGTGTCTTCTCAGCGTAGTTCAGGTATCACAAGTAAAACGAATCATTCTGTGGAAAAAATGGCCACGGTGACTGATATATTATGTTTTAGGACATTATTAGATGCCTGAGTAGCATTTATATGTTGGAGCTGGTCGAGGTGGAGTTTTAACTACTTTATATTTAATAAGTTGAGCACAGTGATTCCCAATCAAGGGACTGTGCCCCCTTCTAAGGGTCACAAAGTAAATCTGAAGGGTCATGATATACTTAATGGATGAAAAGAAATTTCTTCAGTTTCCTTTTTTCTTCTTCTTTTTTTTGGTATATTTACAGATTCGAACTTATCAGTGTTATTTAAATGAATAAATAAATATGAGAGGTTTAGGGGCAAATGTGGAGCTCAGAGACAACTGAAACATGACAAAATGCCCCAATTGATTCATTTTTTGGAAGAGTTTTCAAGCCAAGACTACATTTTTTTGAAAAGTAATTACAAACTAAAGCTGTCAGATAAATGGATAAGAGTACAAAGTGCAGTATTTCTCTCTGAAATGTTGTGAAGTAGAATATATATATATATATAAAGTATATATATATATACATATATATATATATATAAAGTTGCATAAATTGGAAATATTCTAGTGCCTCAAACCTCATACAGGGTGAAATTGCTTCCTTCCTCTGGTGGAAGGACACATGTTCTTTCTTTCACCGTTATGCATTAGTTATATACAACAGCTGTAATCCAGTGACAATCTTCCATGGGGGGGGGTCAAATATATCTTCCAGACAATGACTGGCACTGAACATCTACACACTGTTTTCATGGAGGAGCTACTAATAGTTAAGGGTCGTAAGACTTCTCTGTTCTTCTGACTTCTTCTGTTTCCTGTCCTGGATAGCCACCACTTTCTGGTCTAGACGGATTTGAATCATTCTCTGTGACTCATTAATGAACCAGATCCTGGAGTCATAGTTTAATTTGTGGATCAGCAAGTCACAGTTCTGGTAAACTGGGACTTTACAATTTGGCTTCATGGACGTCACTTATAGAGACCAACTGTGTGAGAACAGTGTCTTTATGGCACTAAAAACAGAAGATGGCTGATTTTATAGACTATAACATCATTTTTCAAATAACATTTTTTGTTTGTAATTCGACAACATTTCCTTTACTGATCATTTTAATGAATTCCTATATTAACTTATATTTCTATATAAGTTCCTGCTTTGAAAAAAAAAAAAAGAAAAAGAGAAAAAAAAGTTGTGACGAATTTGAAATTATTTTTCAATTCATCAATCTTTCCCCTCGGAAGGGTGGCCCACTTCAAATTAGGCCAATGGAATTCCTCGTCAGCGCCCAAAGGTGCAGGAAGAAGCCGCGCTGCAGCTGGCCAGCCAACCCCCGAAACACACCTACTGTAGTGTAAAGTACGATAGTCATCCACTGACACTGCCAGCACAGAAGTGGGCGGTGAAAAGCAGACTTATCTCCTCCACCCTCAGCCTACTTTTATTCTGCTGACGCCTGATGCCAAGACACATGGATCTAGGACAACGACCGAGGGAGAGCTGGATATGAGAATCTTTGTCTCACACACCTCAACAGGTAGATGTGATGATCAACATGTAGGGCTAAGGCAGGCGGTAGGGAGCAGGCCTACTGTTATTCTACCATCAGTCACTGGATGTGCTCGCTTTCTCTCGGTGCTTCTGCATTTTGGCCCTCCTGTAAGGTGAAACCTTCTCTGTGAGGCCATACCTGCGCTCTCCCACTTCTTCTTTTTTATACCTAACTGATGAGGCTTTTCTGTTTTGGGACTATCCAAACCTAATATTGATATTTGAAACATTACAGTGTGTGTTTTTGAAGTTTTTTTTTTTTTTTTAATAAGCTCAGCTAAGGACAAACCCTCTGGATCAACGTGGGTCTATTTGGCTCGATGCTTCCACCTTTTACGACTCTTTACATGTCCTCCGTGTGAAGAGCCGTATTCGGTTTTTTTTCACCCCTTGATGAAGATCAACCTAAATTTATGAATGGGAAACCACCCAAACATCCGTATTTGAACATGGGTCCAGGAAGGAAGGCAAGATGTTGGCATAGCTGTTGTGTTGAGAGCCCTGCTATGCCATCAAATTGTCATCTTTCTCTCCCCTTCGCTGCAAAACCCCTCAAGATATTTCCAAACTCTCCGTGGATTAAAACTGTGCTCGTTTACACTGAGAAATATTCCAGAAAGTTTGTTGTCTTTAGTGTTTCGGTTTCATTTTTTCCCTGCATATTGGTCATTATAAACCATGTCCATGTGTGTTTATACTAAATCTAACAGTTTAAAAAATAAAAAAAAGTTCAACACCCTGCCTGTGTGTGACAAACAAGTTTAAGTTTTATTACTTGGGCTCTGGGCTACAGAGTTAAAGTTAAAGCAATTACTAACTTGATATTTTAAAAGTTAGGCAACCCAACAAATGCATGGTTTGGTATCTGTGTCCTTTTTTTTCCTAATGTTATCTCATAAGGTTTGACACTAATTCAATTTACAGTAGCCTATGTACAGTTGAATGGTGCTAGTGAATCATATCATAATGATATGATACTGTTATAATGTTATAAAATGATATTATCTAAGTTAATAGTTCTTAATAATTGTATTTCCAGCCAAATATGTTGCTGTAAATACATTTCAGCCATGTTGCCCAGCCCTATTTTCCCAAAGAATCTTATTTGAGTGCACAAATGTCATATGTTGGTAGTAGCATAATGATAACAAAGTGGGGCAAAATGTCAACTTGTTGGAAATACTCTGTAGCCAACCTCTTATCCAGTGGTGGAAAGTAACTAAGTACAATTACTCAAGTACTATAATACAGGACAAATTTGAGGTATTGAGGTGCTGTATTTCCTTTTTATGCTACTTTTTACTCCTCTACATGTCAGGGAGAAATGTTGGATTTGACAGCTGGCGTTACTTTTTTTTTTTCTAAAAAAAAATCTTTTGAAACATGTGATATGTTTATAAAGTAATGTAACACTATGTATCACCGAAAGTGGCCATTCTGCATAATGTTTGTACTTTCAATACTTTAAGTTTAGTATGTTGGGTATAGTAACTATTTATTTATGTTGCTTCTTTAGGATTTACATTTCTAATATTTTAGTTTGAGTGTGTGTGTGTGTGTGTGTGTGTGTGTGTGTGTGTGTGTGTGTGTGTGTGTGTGTGTGTGTGTGTGTGTGTGTGTGTGTCTACTTCTACACGCTTTTACTTAAGTTAACCTATATTTATACCTCCACCACCTCTTTGCCCCTGTAAAGCCACAATATGGAAGCACATTATTGCTGGTCCCACTAGTATCAACCTTGTATGTAATGTAGCCCCGCTGCTAATAAATATGATTCAAAAGCTGAAATGAAACGTCTGTTTTGTGAAATTATTTCCAGAGGCTTAAATATTGTATCAGTATAGTGTGTATAGATATGTAGATTTCCAATCAAATGCCATTGTGTGTTTATTAATTTTAACATTTTATTCACAAAACTATTTATGCACAAAAGAAAACTGTTCAAAAAAAATGAGCTAATTAATTTGTGTATGCCTCTGTTTTTTTCTTTCAGTCCTCTGCCAATAGATCCACAAAACATTAATATATTTGAAGATTTTTTATGTGGAATTTATTTATTTATTCATTTATTTATTTATTTATTTATTCATGCCATTGGTTTCTGGTGAAAAAATATGAATAAATAAAAACTACCAATGTACCAATATATCAGCTTAATAAGTAAGTTCAACTAAGGGTTTTTAGCAATAAAATAATTTTCATTAAAATGTTATTTCTTCCTTTCTTTTTATATATATATTTTTTTCTTAAAACTATTAATTGAAATTTTTTATTGAGTTTCAAGTTGACCGGCTCACTCCTCTGTGCAACACTATTGACTTGAACTCTGGTCACATGATCCGCGCTTAGAGGTCATGTGACTCCGTGACGTAGTGTGTTCGCTGATCTTCCTCCTGCTCCTGTGTCTGCTCCTGCTGCTCCTTCACGCTAGGTTATAGTCTGGAGTCGGTTCGACGGTTTCAAACACGAGGGTTTGAAAGGGAAAGGTAAGAAGACATGTAAAAACTGCCCCCTTACAACTGCACGGTCGTGTTCTTCGCATGAAAACATTAGCTTAGCAGAGCTGCTAGCAGCCTCGTTCCCAAGGTAAACAACATGAGTATCAAACTGAAACCATGCTTCCTGTAACTTTATATAGCAGCGTTTGATTTACAGTCTCTGTGGCTGGGAAAAGGAAGTGTAACACTGGTATAACCGACGTTTCCTGCTCGTATGTGCTTCTCTTTGATGCTCCGCTGTGAAGATGTGGCAGCAGACAGAAAACTAACACTTGGCAGGTGACAGAAGAACAAGCAACATTATATATGACTTGATTTATCCAGGAGAGGGCCTTGCTGAGATTAAACATTTTGAATGAGTGTCCTGACCAAGATAGCAGCACAAGATATGAAACAAAACATAGAGTTACAAAACATCCATTTGCAGTGAATTAGTTCAAAAATATAGGCTGTGTGTACATTTCTATTTCCCCGCAGCCGTGTTGATCTGTTTCATGAACATGATTATTTTGGACACTGGATGCACCAATGTGTATCAGCACACTTGCCCTCATCAGGGTGTCTTTACACACGATGAACCCAAACTACGACTATATACACCAGTGTGCCTGTATCTAAATATATATATATGTGTATACAAAAACAACATTCAGTACCAACATGAAACATGAAAGCTACTAGAATAATCATTAAGAGATTCACATCACATCATTTCTCCAGATGCCGATCTCCTGTTCAACCACATCTCAGAGGTGCTGGATTCAGATCTGGTGACTGGGGAGGCCACTGAAGTTCACTGAACGCATTGTCATGTTGATAAAAACCATACTTAAGCAATGAAGGTATTTTTGGTTAAATATGTGCCAAAAGTATATGAAAATTATCAGCTAATGTTATCAGGATTATCTGTGTTTGACAGAGATGAACAGTGAAAACTTCACCCTGAGTGAGAAGATAGTGTCACCCTCCTACATTCGACAGGGGTCTCAGGCGCGTCGTAGCCATGAGCAGCTCATCAGACACTTACTGGAGCAGGTAAAGTCAACTGCTGACATCGGGCTTATTCAAGGTCGCTGCAGACACATCCACATTTCACCTTATGTGTGTTGCAGGGTAAGTGTCCGGAGGAAGGGTGGAGTGAGAGCACCATAGAGCTCTTCCTGAATGAACTGGCTGTGATGGACAGCAATAACTTCCTCGGCAACTGTGGAGTGGGGGAGAGGGAAGGCCGGGTGGCATCCAGCCTTGTGGCAAGACGACATTACAGGTGCATGTTTTATATCAGCTTAATTATATTTGGCTCCAAATTTAAAAAATATCATTCATATTATATATTTTTATATTTCAATACTTTATAAGGCATCTAAAATTAGAGCTCAGCAATCACTAAATTTGAGAGTTAGATATCAATATTTGAGATATTGATATTTAAAAAAAAAAAAACTGGTAATGATGTATGTCAGCTGATATTTGTTTGAACATAAACAAATTAACATATAACATTTTCTTACTAAAGAAATGTAACCTAAACATGTACTCATTCTTGTCCACATCACAAAGTTTAGTAAGTTGTTTCATGGTTCCTGTTGTGACATTCAGCTGCTTTGTGTAGGTTGATCCATGGCATAGGTCGATCAGGTGACATTGCTGCTATTCAGCCCAAAGCCGCAGGATCCAGTCTGTTAAACAAGCTGACCAACTCAGTCGTCTTGGACATCTTAAAGCTAGCAGGTGTGTATGTCTTAGCAGCTAAACAAAGACTATTAAACTGTGCAAGAATGTTTAATATTTGTGCTAAATATGAACTGTTGAAGAAAGGTGTGCTTTGAAAAATTGAAATCTTAAAAGCCCATTGCAGCAATTTAATATTACACTTCCAGAAAGTTTGGGGATTCAAAAGAGACAAAAATTCAAGATCAAAACCACAGGATCCTACATTTCCCACAATGCAATTAAATCATTCATGAGGCCCTACCTGTTTCATAAATTTCTGCTCCTTGCAAACCTCACTTCCATCTCCAGTTTGTGATACAGAAGTCTTAGGTCCAAGCAGAAATAACACCGATGACATCACCAGGGTTATTTTCTTCAAAGAAGACACAATCCAGATGTTTCCACAGGCTGACTATTACTCCTCGTGTGGACTTTTTACTTGCAGGTGTAAATGGGGGGAAAAAATAAGCATGTTGTGTTTCTTCTGGGTATCAGGTGTGCGGAGTGTGGCAAGCTGCTTTGTAGTTCCCATGGCAACAGGAATGAGCTTGACTCTGTGCTTCCTGACCCTTCGTCATCGGAGGCCCAAGGCTCGCTACATCATTTGGCCTCGCATCGACCAGAAGTCCTGTTTCAAAGCCATGATCACAGCAGGTGATGATATGACTTTAATACCCAATGTCATGTTGCCCTTACGTCCTGTTCACAGGCTAGGCTGGTGTTTGAAATATGGCAGCAGATAGAGTTTCAATATTGTTGGGAGAATTTAAAAAAAAACTCCAAAAATCTGAAAGTGTGAAAACACACACACAATCCCACCTGAGGGCTTACATTCGACTGTTTTATCAGGCTTTGAACCGGTGGTGGTGGAGAACGTCCTTGAAGGCGACGAGCTGCGGACGGACTTGGAAGCAGTCGAGCGCAAGATGGAGGAGCTCGGAGCCGAGAACATCCTGTGTGTTCATTCAACAACTTCCTGCTTTGCCCCGCGAGTCCCTGACAGGTCATTTAAGCTTTCAGTCATGCTCTTAGGCTTTTCAAGGTGTCACAATAGGATTACACATATTTAAATGACTCACAGGTGCCTTTTTTTTTCTTTTTCTTTTTTTTTCAAATAATGTAAGCTTTTTAATTTTGTTCATTTCTGAAAGTCCAGTATCTTCTCTTGCAGGCTGGAGGAGCTGGCCACTCTATGTGCCAAATATAACATTCCCCACATAGTAAACAATGCATACGGCGTTCAGTCGTCCAAATGCATGCACCTTATACAGCAGGTATGTACCTCTCATTTGTATTTTTGAAGCAGCAGAATACCTGAGCTAACGGAACGCAGCAGGTTGAACTGGAGCTCACCTCTGAATATAACAAATAAATCATGTAGAAGCACCTTCACTGTCATCAAATGTACTTCACTCACTGGTGACAGTTGTGGAGGTCAGTGAAATCTTTCCTCGACTGTCTTTGATCAGGGGGCTCGTGTCGGAAGAATCGATGCCTTTGTACAGAGCTTGGACAAGAACTTTATGGTTCCAGTAGGTGGCGCCATAATCGCAGGTTTTGATGAGTCCTTCATACAGGAGATAAGCAAGATGTACCCAGGTGAGTGGTGAGTGCTGTTGTAAACATTTTTGCATTTGTTTATACAGATTTGGATGTGTGCATAAGTATGTAAGATTAAATACACATATACTGTGTATATCTGTCTTTACTGGTGTATTACTGGGTTTCATCGTATTAAGGACACACCTCTTTGTGACTAGATTTCACAGTTTTACATTTATGTTACAATTTTAAAATGTGATGAATTTTGGGGGTATGACACAATTCATTGAATAAATTAATAACAATGATGTATGATAAAAGTATTAACAATACTGCCATATTCTTCCCATTTATCATCTTTTTTGTGTTTTCAATAAGCAATGATACTAGAAGGATTTTTATACCTTCAGGATTAGAAACATTTGTCTGTATGGAAGACTTTTCATGTATATATTATAGTCTAAAATTATGAAGTTGAAGCTGGTGATATTCTATATTTAAATTATTGTCAACAAATATCTGTAAGCACTCTCTGGCTTCCCCTCCCTGTCTGTTGCTTTCAGCACCGAAGCCCAGTAAAGCACAGGGCTTATGTTTGTCTTGTTCGTCGTTCTGAAGAAGCATGTCACACAGGGCAACAGTGTGGTTCACTGATGTGATTTAAATCTCTGTGGCACATTTGAATACACTATATTAGACTTTGGCTTTTGACAACAATCAAAAATATACAATAACATTAGAATTGTCCTTTAAATCAAGAAATAGATCCATCCGCTCAAAAAAGGAGTAAACAAAACTTAGAGTCTAATGCCAGTTTTTGACTCTTTCCAATACTCTAGCATACACACAGTCAGAGAAAACTGATACCTGGTCTGCCCTAGACATATACAAGATGCTTCACCTTCATAGCCTATGATTCTTATTGTATTGTTGTTAAAAAGTGAATGTGAGGAGTGGATTTTTAAACCTATAATTAGGTTTGCACATCGCAGACTGTGTCTAGTTTCTGTAACTGCTCGACAAAGTCACTTCTTGGCCTTCTGTGTCCAGGTCGAGCATCGGCCTCACCCTCCCTTGATGTCCTTATCACCCTTCTCACTCTGGGAGCCAGCGGCTATAAGAAACTCCTGTCAGAAAGAAAGGTGAGAACATGCACACATCATTTTATAAGGCTAAGTATAGTGCAAGACACACTTGAGGTAGGGTGTGATATCTGCTGGATCCTCTCAGATGGTTTGATTAGATCAATGTAGATTGGTATAAAAACACTGCGGCAATGTCAGTCATGCATTAGAATCATTCTGAATACCGCTCTGTGCGTGCTGTGGCAACATGTTTCCCCTGAAGACGGCAAAGAACAGCTTACATAAGTTGGATTGAATTGCAGGATCACATGGTGTGTGTGTATGTGTGTGTGAGTTTTGCTTTACCTGCAGTCTGACTGAAGAGGAGTGAGACTGTCAGCTTGAACAAGCAGTGAGCTTTGTAGAGGGAGGAGTATGCTATAGCAAGATAAAATTGATCCAGAAGTTTCAGAAAACATCCCCTGGTGGCTCCCTGCTTTAAAGCACAGTTGCTCACAATGCAGCATCCCCCTCTTTAAATGGGAGGCACTGCAGCATTCTCACACCTCCGAACTGCTGTGCCATAAATGTACTGTAAATGTGCTAGACTATATCTGTTTCTGGTGATGCTCAGACCTTGGGAAGACTTTTTTTAAGAAGCTGGAGAAGATATTTTTTGTGCAAATAACCTCAAATGGAAATGTACAGTAATCACAAATTAGACTCAACCTGCAGTAATCATATCTAAAGATGATACTATTACGGGATGGCGTACAATACACAAAATGCTGTGAATGTAAAATTGACTCCGTAGCAGAAATATACATCTAGGAAATTCCTCTGGCCTCTCGAATGACCCGGCGCCATCAAGGCTTATTGATTTCTCTTGGTCCACATTATGCATAATTAATGTACAGGACCTGTTTTTCCATGGTGTGTGAAGAACTGAGTGATTTCCACACATCCCTCCTGGGGTCAAAAGCTTTAAATAATTCAAACATTTCATCTGCGGAGGTTCATTTACAGCCTCGTGCATTTTAGCAAATGTCTAGATGCTGAAAAGAACCAACAGCTGATGTGTGTTTTTGGTACACACACACACACACACTTATTGTCTGCAGAGTCGCAGCCATGCACACTCCCCACCACGAGCACCCCTCCTCTAAGGATAAGAAAGTCGTCCATTGTTATTAGAGAACAACGAACACTTAGACACACTTGACATCATTGAAAGGCTGTTTGTGTTTGATTCATGACAGAGAAAATATTTTCCTTCTTGATGCTTTAGAATTAGGAAAGTATGAGTCAGCAGAGTACGCTGACACACACACACACACACACACACACACACACACACACACACACACAGCCAGTGTTGCAGAGAGCAGATCCTTTAATGTGCGACGCTTCACTGGGGAATCTGGCGCCAGTAGCCAGCAACAAAGACACTGCGATTTGTTGTTGTGCAGCTTCCCCTCCCAGCCTGGTCTGTGTTCAAAACCCCATCGTCCTTGTTCAGCCTTCCACACACTGCTTTGATCCTCTGAGCTAAACACTCTTTGTCAGCATATTTGAAAACGTGCGGATGCTAAAATCTTAGGTTACAAGCATGTGTTCATCCTCTCCTGCCTCTGTAATTGATCCTAGAGATGGATGTGTGATGTGAGCAAAGATCGCGGCCAGGGATGGAGAGGAAGTTTGGTGGGAAACAGGCACACAGAGAGGAAGTGAGGGGGGGGGGTTGGACATTGAGCGGCCCGCTTGTGGGTAGATCTGCTCGATTAGCAATAAAACCAAGGCTGCTGCTGCTAAAATAAGGCTGTGACAGTGTGTGGAAGCAGCAGTGTGCTACTATTTATAGTTCTTTTGTATGGCCCTTGTTCCCTCTCTATCTGTCGCTTCATGTTTTTTTGTTTTTTTTTCTGTCTGCCTGGCCTGCAGGAGATTTATTTATTCCTCGCTCAGGAGTTGAAGAGTCTGGCCTCTGCACACGGGGAGAGATTGCTTCACACCCCACATAACCCCATTTCACTGGGTAAGCTCGATGCACTGGTTACACGCCACAGACTGTATAGTTTGTCCATATATTTAGATTTATTTTGGGTTTCTTTGAGCAGTGAAGGTTATATTCCTACATTTCTTTAAATGCACAATGGCATTTGCTGCTGCTAGGGGTCTCTGAATCAAAACAATAATAAAAGATGAAATTTAATGACATCGTGAAGTAGTAGGATCATGGGATTTGTTGTCTTCACTTAGAATTCCTTGAGTGTTAATCATTCAGGAGTTTTTTACCAGGAGCTTAATTATCTGCAGAGGTCTCCTCCTCTAAAACAAATGGACCATGTGATTAAAACATGTGAAGTAAAAACTTAAGATCCAGACGTCTAATGACAAAAATCTGTCATCTTGAAAAAATACAAGATTTGAAAAGTGTATCATAAGAATGTAGCTTCAAACTGGGTAGATGTCAATTTAGGCCATTTCTGACAGACAACCCCGACACTGCCGCATGTGCGAAGTGGATATGACGCCATTGACAGCTGACCAAATTAAACTGACTGTTACCTTGGTTGAAATGAATGCAGAAAAGCTTATTATTATACATTTTTAGTGAAATAATTATGTGTGTGTGTGTGTGTGTGTGTTGGGTGTGTCATCTTTCATCTTTCTTCTAGCCATGTCTCTGGATGGTCTCCAGGCTGAGAGCGACAAGGCAGTGACTCAGCTGGGCTCCATGTTGTTCACCCGGCAAGTGTCTGGAGCCAGGTATGAAAACTTTAAAAGGCCATCGACACGATCTGGCCTGCAAATGGGGGGGAAAAAAGGGGAGGGGAGGAAGAACAAGGGTGTGTTTGTGTGTGCGTGTGTTGTGGGTAGGGACGAAGCTTGAAAAGACACTGCAAGTCAAAATAGGGTTTGTTGGTGTCCTCAAAAACAAGGGGACGAGCCTGTGCTGCCAAATAAAATGGCCAGTGGAAATCAGCAATCAGGCAGATGGATCTGCTGAATATGATGGAGCAGAAACTACTTTAGATGATTACACAGCCCACCCTATCAGGCCTGCCTCCTAATTTAACAGGATTTTTCCATTACCATCCACAGAGCTACGTCGTCTCCACAACAGGCACAAACTGTAATGCAGCACTGACGAGCCATGTTCTCGCTCCCATCCCACCTCTAGGGCTGTTTCTTAGCAGTAGGGAGGAGGATTTATCAATTCTTCTCTGTTGCCTTCTGCTTCAGTCACTCATGGCCGCATGAATACCAAATTTCAAGTTTATGGTCATTTGTTTCTCTGTTTTTCCCTTCACTAGTTTTTGACCAAGCGTGGGAGCCCGTTTAAATATTTTAGATATCCAGAATAAATGATTTATTTGGGTCATTCTATCGTGATTGTTTGGCGTTGTTAAGATTCAAATGCACTCATGGCTCAATTGCATAATTAATGCATCAAAGAAATTCCTCCACACTTCCACCTTCCTCCCTTGCTTTCTTCCAAATGAGCATTTTTCCAAGGTCAGGGTGTAGCGCCTGCTCACGTCTTTTATCCTTGTGTCTCAGCAGCATACGAAATGAGAGGCGTTGACTTCTAAAGTTTATGCTTCAATGACACACATTAATCTTTATATTTACACTCCCATTAAGTTAAGTATCCTCAGTTCTGACTGTGAACACTGTGAGAGGGAGCTGGCGTAGCTGTAGCTGTAAGCTATCCCCTTATCCAGAAAAACATTAACAGAGATCTACATCTTATTACAATGCATGTCTCCACCAAAACAGTCTTTCACATACACATAGTCCAAATTGCTGGCCAGTAATTGATTTCACATTAAAGTGAGTGTAAACTGTGCTGACAGTGGTGAAACCCTGCCAGATTTCAGAAGCATAGGTGTGGCAGAGTTTGACTCTTTGAAATCAACTACAGTTTAAAAGTTTACCAGTTTTCACTTCAGAGTTTCACTTTCAGAGTTGCAGTATGTTGATAATGTAGCACTGCCTCAGGTCTCTAGTCTCTGCTTTTTAAAAACTGGCAAGTTTGGGAAATGTACAGTACTTTGCTAAATGAAACCTTCCTTCCTTTACTTCTTTCCTCTCCTGAAGCTACCTTTCTTGTAAGGATCTTGGAGACTTGTTTGACACAACTAATATATGTTTTCAAAGTCTTTGGCAGAACTGTCACATGCTACCTGCCTATGGTTATCAGGCCGGATCAGATACCAGTCAAGACAGCCAAGAATGAGCTTCATTAAAGAAACTTGCTCTTTGAAGCTGCTGTAATCAGTAATGAATATTAACAGTGGATCCCATGACATTTGTATCTGAAAACGGTTTCTCATTGTGATGAGCACACAGAGAATTATCACCCAACTCTGCAGCACTGCAACACTTTATCGTGTCTTCGAGGTCGTCGCTTTGGGTTCTCCAGCACACAACAGTTTTGGGTCACACTCGCCGCTCCTATAATGAAAATACACGCTACGTGGCCAGCACCAATCAACAGACTGACAATGTTAGCTGGTGAACATAGTGGAGCATTTAGCAGCTAAAGAGCCAGATATTTCCCTCAGGAGTTGGTGGAGATCAAAACAGAACTAAAAGGTGACAGGATATCAGAACTAGCATTCACCGGGTGCTCAGAAACATGACTCCAAAGAAATGTTAAGTGGTTTGATAGTTACCATATTAACTTAAAAGATGATGGTGTGTCAGTGTTGTGTTGATAGGTTGTTTTCGCTGCCCTCAAGTTGCTGAAAAAATCAGTTAGTACAGGTTTAATTTTACACATTCAACATGCAGTATTTGTAATATAACATACATTGTATTGCAACATTTACAGTAGCATCTTCTGTATAACTGAGAACAGATTATCTCCGAGACTTAATACAGTAAATTGTTACAGTCAGACAGAGTGATGGGTGATAGGTGCTGCTTGTTTTGAAAGTGACATTTTCTGAGTTAAACAGTAAGTTTGATGATGCTTAGTCTGCATTGTAATATTGAGTAAGTAATACAAATGTTAAGCTCGTTTGACTTCCCTGGTGAATATTCTTACTGCCACATCTTTTAATTAAATGAGTAGAGTAGATTAAATGAGTAGCAGTACTTGGTTGTCATTGCCTAAGTGAAGTTTTGGCCAGGTCATAAAAAAAAATTTAAAAATCCTGCTTTAAAAAAAAATTAACGGTAGTTGTTCCCTGTCAGGTTAAATAATTACCAAACTACATCATTCTTGTTCTTCATCCATGCTCCTAGGGTAATACCGCTGGGCAAGGAGCAGACCATAAGCGGACACACGTTCCGCGGCTTTATGTCACACTCGGAGGCATACCCCAGCCCCTACCTCAATGCTGCCTCAGCTGTGGGCATCACTCGGGAAGACGTTACACTGTGCATCAAACGGCTTGACAAGTGCCTGAAGACTCTGAAGAAGGAGTTAAATGTGGCTAAAAGTAGTTCCCCAGCGCCTCCGTCGAGCCAGGAGGACACCGCAGGAGAATGATACAACTAAAATAAGAACATTTCAACAGCCAAAAGTACACAAAGTGATTTCTACTTCCCTCTGCTGCCTGCGCTTACGTCTTCTGATTCGAAGTGTGTGTGTGTGTGTGTGTGTGTGTGTGTGTGTGTGTGTGTGTGTGTGTGTGTGTGTGTAAAATAAGGTCAGAGACACAAGCTCACCTCCAACAGCTTCCGATGAAATGGTGTGCAGGTGTTTGTTTCAGACAAAAAAGACGCTGATGTCACTGATTAATTCCCTCCTCTATGAAGGTTTGCTAATTAGTAGAAATGACATACTCTGCACACAAATGCATCTCGGGAGCACATGGTTATATGCCACTGATCTAAAGTTAGACCAAATGCTTTAATTTATTATGGATTTTGGACTCAAAATAGATTATGTATCTCTCATTTAAGATGGTCTTTACTGTGCATCGTGTCTTAATTAAAGTCATCTAAAACCTCCACATTGCAGTTATTGGATGGAATATTCTATAAACTAGCCAGTCCTTCATTTTGAAATGAACTGAGATGCCTCTTTTTTTCTTTGCTAATGGAAAACAGTCATACTTTATCTGCGTTCTGTTTTGGGAATACATTAAGCTTTTCCAACTGCAGTATGTTGTTCTATGTCTTCTGCTGTGTATTGTAATGTGATACAGGCGCTGTTGAGCCATTAACTCCATCTGAACCCTGTGTATTGGATTAGCTTGTTTATTTTCAGGCTTGGTAACAGATAGCAAGTAACAGATAATCAATGAAGTACACCAAACATAGATCTCTATTGTATTGAGTGAAGGAAATATTCATTATTAGTCTAAGTAAGAGCCTATACTGTATGTAACATCAACAATTTAACAGATATGTAGGTAACTCCTGTACTGTATTTTACGTTTAACAATGTAGGATGAACTTACATTTCAGGGGAATTGATCTTTAATCAAACAAGTCTCCTCCATATTTGCACATTTCAGAGGTTTTTTTTTTTTTTTTTTAAACATCTTCTGTCTCTTCCCGCTGCTCTCCGGTCTCAGTCATTAGGAAGCAGGGAAGATAGTGCTCCGAGGCACAAAAATAGACTACTACTAAAGCCTCTCTGACTGATGACTAATCTATATCTCGCTACTGCACTGTCCAAGTTCTCCCTGTGCCTTCCCCTTCATCTGCTGCATATTATCAAGGTTGATTGCCTTTATGAAAATCTTGGGCCAATGTTAAAAAGATGCCGCTGCGTGTTTTGGAGTGGAAACAATCGTGTGTGTGTGTGTCGGAACGGGAAGTACAGACTGTCACAGTTGCTGCATCTGTGCTGGGCCCATGTGCGATGGGTATAGCAGTGAATACAATCAGCACATGTCATGCAGGTTGGAATACGTATGTAGCAATAACAACAGCAGAGCCAATCTGCCCGACAGCCTTTGAAAGTGGGCTGGAGTCAGATAGATAAGATTGCTGTATCAGCACACTTTGACTGTTCCCAAGCTGTACTGAGCCATTAACAGAGTATAATAGGAAAACACTGTGCACTGTCACAGAGCTGGTACAGGGCAGCTTTCTGAAAAGCTGAGGTGGCTTTCAGGAAAGAGCTTAATGTTCAGTCTTCAGTCAGAATTAAGAAATAATTTGCTCTATGTGGAACAGTACATGTGGTTTACAGGAACACGTGGTAGTAATATTAAGAAAGTGTTTTGATGTCCTAAAAACTTGATTTGCTTTTTGTCTTTCTCTTCTCTCTCCATTCCCTGTCACCAGTTTTCTATGTTTCCGCCTATTTTGCTGATGTAGCAGAGATGCTGTGAGGATAGAGAGCCAGGCCCATTATTCTGTGCTGGACTGTTTTAAAGGACCCCTCTCTATTGATCAAATCTGCTGCAGTGTGTAAATCAGAAAATGGCTATACCACTGAGAAACTTGCACAAGACATTACATTGTGTTTTTTTATGCAATCACGTAATCAGTTTGATAGTTAAAGTCTTTTCTCAATGTTTGAATGGTTAAAGATTCTTGCCGTCTCTTTGTTTACCTTAAGTGATTGTTTACCATCAGTCCTCCTCACCAAAATAGACTGCCTTTAAAAATATTCCTCCTGAATCCGCACTCCACACACTCAATCATAAGTCTAAGTACCCCAGGGATGTTGCTGCTTGACAAATGGCCCTTCACTCCTGGGCTCTCAGCAGCTGCCAGCTAAAGTTCAGTGATGATGGAGTGCAAGTGCCACGAATGAGCAACCTGGTACCAAAAGGACCACAGTTTACCAAACCACCCACTGACAATATCAAAGCAGCAAAGTTGCCTTCTTTAGCTTTCGAATTATATTAATAGTATATATGTGGACCCATATTTAACAGAATTACACTTGAAAATGCTCCAATTTAGAAAAAGAAAAATGTCTTCACTGAGTGTTAACAGTAAGTGATTTACTCCTGTAATAACTTTGAAACACAATGCATGTTCAGAGAAGGAACAGCCAATGAAATACAAGGATTTAACCTCCCTGTATCCCACCATTCATTCTTTTTTAAAAATTCTAATACAATTGAAAGTTCATTTTATTTGGATGAAATCTTTAAGATCTCCAGTCGCAATTTACCCGTCAACAACAAATTCATATATTTCTAATATATAAATTTGTAAATAGGGATGGAAGGATGGAAAATTGGCTGAAATACAAACAAAAAGAAAAACTGGAGAGTATAGCACCATATTGACAAGATACATGGAAATAATCAATACCAGCTTTATTCTTGATGTTTGAAACCCTGATAAATGCCAATAAATGCAATAAAATAAAAACATGAAGTTTATTTAGATTGAATGAAAAATGATTGGAAAATATCTTGTTAAAACCAAAATAAAGGACATATGAAACAAAAGTTATGTCCTGAATGATAGGTCCAAATTTACACTTGTAGCAGTTTGATGCAGGTGCACTGCACATATACTATAAACATACTGTAGGCTATACTGTATATACAGACAACATATGTAACCACTCAGACTGCTATTGTATTTAGTTTTAAAGGATGTATCAGCAGAGCAGCTCTGCGTGGACTGGCTCAGAGGCGCTGTCCATGGTGCTGCAGTTATGCGCCTCAGAGAGCTTCAGTGTGGAGGAGGGGTTCAGTACTGTACAGCTGACTGTATGTGAAAATTACCTGTGTAACAATATATCACGTCTCAATGTGCTTGGCTCGAGTCGAGGGACTTTTATGTCATGTATTTGATAATAAATCTTTTGGACAAACCCACAATGTAAAACGCTGCCAGAAATAAAACACATTTACATTTTGTTGCCAATTTTGACATGTTAAGAAACATATAACTGAGGTCATTTCACATGTATTTTTCAAATCTGCAATTTCACTACATGCTCCACATCTGCTGATATATTAAACTATATGTGGATAAATGCCATCTATGTTCGTTTGCATGCTTTTAAGCGCTTTTTTGAATGTAACATTAACTCTAAATCTATGAAACGTACAGGTTAGCAGATCGGCTGTTGTAGCCTGAAGCAGCTTCACAATGGCCTATTTTTTATTTCATTTTTTGTGCCATGTATGGTTGTTGGTTGTTTAACCAACAGTTAAACTGGAGCTGGAGCTGTGGCTTAATAAATAATGAAAGTGGACGGAGGGGAGCTGCAGCTGATTTGCTGATGTCAGGGAGCCAGTGCAGCATTTCATGGTGCAGGGTGGAAACGCGCGGTGCCATCTGCCTCGATCGGTGCTCTCAGCGAACATCACACATGCGAGCCCGGCAAGGAAGATGCTGCCAACTCTCAAGATTTGGGCATTGCTTTCTGTGTCGCTGTGCTGCCTGTCTCAACCGGGTCATTTGAAGAAGGGTTTTCGATGTCCTTCAACATGCAGCTGTTCCAAGGAGTCTATCATTTGCGTAGGGTCCTCTTATGTCCCAAGGATATCCCCCAACGAAATCAATTCTTTGTGAGTAGCCTCCCCCTGTGATCTTTTCACTAAACAAGATATCCTTAAACAGTGTATGTATAAAATGCTGCAATATTGGCTTATAGTTTGATTTCTGCTGTCCCTTGCTGTATTTCACAATGTACACCATCTTAATAAGAGCTAAGGCAGAAAGGCAATGCAGTCCTGCCTTCTCCTGTTAATCACTTCACTGCATTTTATTTCCTGTGGTGGCTTCATGTTTATCATTTCTGCTTCTTCTTTTCAGGAGTATCGTCAATGGAACTTTCACTGAGGTCAAAGAGGCTATGTTTAGTCACATGCCATCTCTCCAGCTACTGTAAGGATACCCCAACTGCCTGTAAAACCTCTCTATGACAAGATTTCACGGGCCACCCTTTACTTGTAGCTACTGCTAGCTCCTTTCAAAACGAAAATATGGAGGCAGATTGAGTTTGAAACTTATTTCAAATTGGTGACTTTGGAAGATTAAATGCACCTTTTAATGTGGGTGTTTTAGATGACGAATGCATCAGATTGTGTACAGCCATCTAAAGCTGTAATACACACAACAAAACACTCATTACAAATAAAGAATTAACTAGTGTTGGCATATAATATCACAAATTAATTAAGGCTTGTTTGCTATTGAAGCACTGTGACTAACGATCTGTTGTAATACAGATACAGTAATGCACCTTTTAAGTCTGTTTAGTGCGTGTTAAAGCTATTAGCAGGGACAGCCTTTAAGGATTGGATTATATGATGATTATACTTATGATAAAGCATTGCACACCTGCAAATGAATAATGAAAATCAAGTTTTGAGCTTTCAGTGAAGTCCCATACTGTACTGTACTTAACAGAGGCCATCACTCTGGGATGTCAGCACAAACAAAGGCGTGGCAGATATAGAGCACTTAACGAAAGTGATGACACACTTGATGAATTACGTCTTGTTTTCTGTGTGCTGTTTCTGTTACAATTTAGTGTTTGTTTGTTTTTTTTGTTTGTTTGTTTGTTTGTTTGTTTGTTTGATTTTTTTGGTAGCTTCATACCATTCCTTATGATGAAATGGACCATTTTCATGAGATAAGAGATATATGGGCGTTCTGTCTTAGTAACAATATAATTAACTGTGGTTTACATCCTCTGTGACTTCTTTGTTCTTGTGCGTTTGTGCGATAAGATGTGTTTTTCTTAACAGTGTGCTGAAATGGTGATAGAGGTCAAAAGAATCATTATGTTGTATAGTTACTTTGTGTCCAGTCTTGATTTCATCAGTGTCAGCATTAATAACTGGGCTGAGAGCATTTGGAGTTGACTGTGTGTTGTCTGCTGATTTGATTGTGTTGTTGTTAAGCAAGCTAAATCACAATCTGAGAAATTTCATCTGATCTTCATTATTCATTACAGGCTTTTGAATTCTAACTCGCTAACAACTATAAGGGATGATGCATTCACAGGCCTTTCACATCTGGAGTACCTGTAAGTTCTGTTATTGTTTTGTTTTTTTATTTAATGCAAAGACATTCATTGAATTAGTATAATAATTACATATATTGGATACACACACGTGTTTGCTATGAACTAATTATCTGTAGCTGGGTAAAATTGCACACTTTAATCTGACATAACACAGCAGTATACTAGCAATGTTGTTATGGGCATGAGGTTATGTGGTTGAATGTTAGTCTTTCAGAGTGAATGAGACAGGAAAGTATAGACTGTACGCCCTCTAGTGGTTTTAGTTTTTTCTCCCCAGTACAAAATCTTCAGTCATTTGTCAACATCAAATTTATAGAAAATGTATTACAAATCTGTATCAGTACAATTACAGATGTATTTATTAGTTTGTTACAATCCCCAAGCCTGATTGAAGTGAAATTGTTGTTTAAAGTTATTAGTCTAAAACTGCACAAAGCTCACCAGAATCAGTATAATTTTCATAAAAGTCCAAATGTTTCTTCCTGAGACGTGAATGCCACAGGAAAGAAGGATGTGACTTGATCACTTTCTCTCTTCATTGACAGAAACAGGTGCTTATTGTGTTCAGTATGTGTGTGACTACTTTTTTCATGTGTCTTGAGAGGCAACAAAAGATTAATTACAAGCAACATTATTGAAGACTTATACTATAACTTATAACTTATAATATCCCAAGTGCATTATCAGTTATACACAATGAGTTCTTTGGTGCTGTAGATGTGACATACTCTAAACTGATCACAAAATTCACAGTATTTTCTTTTTATCTTCCACAGGTTCATTGAGAGTAATAAGATAGAGACTGCATCCAAATATGCCTTCAGAGGACTCAGGGACTTGACTCACTTGTATGTTTCAAACGATTGTAAATATAATACTTAATCTGCTTAAAGTGAATTTTAATATTGAGTAACTGTGACACATGCTAAATAGTTTGGTTTTATTAAGATTACAGCTAACAATGTTGAACATTATATACAGAAGAATGATACAATTTTATGTTAGTTATTCAGATATTTAAATATTACTGTGACTTATTTATGTAAATTTTGTCTTCGCCCATTTACTTGACAAGGAATAATGATTATCTTACATAGGTAGTTTTTGTTGTATTGATCTTTTGCTGCTGTTTCTAGGTCTTTGGCAAACAACAACATTAAAGCCTTGCCCAGGGACCTCTTCATTGACCTGGATTCACTGATAGAGCTGTAAGTTTGTTGCTCAGTTCAGTGAGATCCATAGAGTAACATCCTCTATTGTCTCGAGAATTGGTCCTGTGTCCAGTGTAAAGTTTATTTCTCCTCCTTTTTATTGTTCTTCACTTCTACCTTGTGTACTTTGTTTCTCAGCAATGACATACAGTTCTCCCCTTCTGCAGGGACCTGCGAGGCAATGCCTTTGAGTGTGACTGCCGTGCAAAGTGGCTGATGATGTGGCTGAAGAACACCAATGCCACAGTGTCGGATGTCATGTGTGTTGGACCAGAGGACCTGAAGGACAAGCGGCTCAATGATATGACCAGCCTGCACAATGAGTGCATCTCAACGGGTGAGAAACACTTTGGCCAGCTGGCATTGTCTCTAGTGTCCAGTCTCTATCTGGCATCAGTATCTGCCAGCTAACCCCTCACTTACATGGTACGCAGTATATAGCCTACAGAAAGGGCAGAAGTGTTGTTTTATCTGTTTATCCTTTTAATGTGGCCAATTTTGGCTTTTAAGAGCTTGTTAATTTGTGGGAAAATTTTATTCTGGATGCCCCTTTTCACAGATTTTGTCCTCCACCAGTCCGTGGCATCCGAGTCTCTGTCTGTTGACACATTCAGTTATAAGGATGATGTCTATGTGGCTATTGCTGCTCCCAGCATAGAGAGCTGTATGGTTTTCCAGTGGGACCACATAGAAATGAACTTCAGGACTTATGATAATATCACAGGTATGTCAATGCCTTAACAAACTGTCTCAGAATACTCTAGTTGAGTTTTACGCTCATGTTGTCAGTCTAATTTATTTCATTTTCACTGCCTTTTAGGTCAGTCCATTGTGGGGTGCAAGTCAGTTGTCATACAGAACCAAGTGTTTGTCATCGTGGCTCAGCTCTTCGGTGGTTCCCACATCTACAGGTTTGATGAGGACCAAAGCAGGTTCAGCAAGTTCCAGGACATTGAGGTGTCCAAGATTTCCAAGCCCAACGACATAGAGGCTTTCCAGATTGGCTCTGACAGTTTTTTTGTGATCGCTGACAGCTCGAAAGCAGGCCTGTCCACCCTCTACAAATGGAACGATAAGGGCTTTTATTCATACCAGTCGTTGCATGAGTGGTACCGCGACACAGATGCAGAGTTCTTAGACTTGGATGGGAAGGCCCATCTTATCTTGGCAAGTCGCTCACAGGTGCCCGTGATCTACCAGTGGAGCCGGAACAACCAGAAGTTTGTCCTGCAGGGTGAGATCCCCAACATGGAGGATGTAGTAGCTGTGAAGCACTTCCGCATCAAGGGGGAGCTCTACCTTGCTATGACTCGCTATATTGGAGACTCCAAAGTTCTGCATTGGGGTGCCAAACAGTTTGCAGAGATCCAGGCCTTACCGTCAAGAGGCTCCATGATTCTGCAGCCATTCTATTTCAAAGAACGTTACTACCTGGCCTTGGGAAGTGACTACACCTTCTCACAGATCTACCTGTGGGACGATGAGAACAAACTCTTTGACCGCTTCAAGGAGGTGTACATCCAGGCACCACGCTCCTTCACTGTGGTTTCCACTGACCGCAGGGACTTCATCTTTGCCTCTAGCTTCAAGGGAAACACACAGATCTTTGAGCATATCATCATCGACTTGAGCTTGTGAGGGTCTGTGCCTTATTGCCCCTCCAGCAATCGAACGTCTTCCACTAAAAAGATACATTTGTGAAGGGAAAGGGACGCACCAGAACAGAGTTTTTGAACTGGTAAATATCAATTCCTACATAGTTTTTTTTTCACAAATAAGAGCTGGGCCAAGTAGTGTTGAGATCCTTTGAGTTTCTTAGGGTGTCTTAACTATTTCTCAATGGCCTATTACCTGTCCTCATGGCCTCTCAGACTTTCAGAAATACTCGCATTTCAGAGAGAATGAGGAGGAGCATGTTGGAAATTGTACAAAGTAGCTGGTTATCCTACTGAAAACCCAGCAGACATTCCTGAGGGTGGAAAAAATTTAAACCTAATATGTTCAATTTGGATGTATAGATTTTTGTTTAATATCCCCTGTTAATAGTTTTATACACAAATCAATGAACCAGGACCTGAGAGAAAGATCATATTACAAGTTTTGTTTTGTTCTCATTTGGGGCAACTGAGGTTGTAACAGGGTTGGTTGCCACTTACCTCATGTCCTCATGTCCTCTGATAATATACAGGATGTTGCCTTCTGGGTTCTGATGGACCCACAGTGCCTCCCTCTGGCCGTGATAAGGTATCACACCCCCTTGCTTTTTTCATACAGGGAATGTCTTGAAAGCACAAACCTTTAATTATAAGAGCTGAGATCACAGTCCTTAGAGTGTAGTTGTATAGTGGAAAATGGTACTGTAGGTGCTATAGATTATATTGCATACAGTAAAAAAATAGAAGTGGTTGTTTTAGGAGGTGAACTCTTCAGGACTGGATATAGCTAACACCTTTTTAGACAGATGTATATGAATAGAAAATTCCCAGTTAGATACCCTATTAGTTCAGAGGTACTTTAAGTGGCAAAGTAGATAGAAGCTCTTTTTATCCATTTAGTGGAAAGGGACCTGTGTTTAGGTGATGTCAGGGAAATTAAACCTACTTACATGTTTGAAAAAATAACTTGTTATTCAACTACTGACAGAAATTAACTTTTGTTTTAGGCTATCACGAAAAGAGGCTTCTCACAGCTAAAGTCAGTGGCCTCAAAATATAAACATTTGATAGAGGACATAATTTGTCCAAAAATGAAGGAAACAAAATTTATGTAAATATATCCACTCAAGCTGAGAGACTTTTTCAATCTTTTTGTTCTTTGAAAATACTGAATGTTGACTCACAAGCTATAAAATGTACATAAAACAAAGAAGGCAATGCCACCTCCTGTTTGTCACACATACATCCAAATGGATATTTGCACTTACTTTAAAAAACAAAATTAAATGTTACTGCAGCTTGCAAGTGCATGACATTCAAAAAAGGGTGTTTGCCAAATTCTTTTTAAATGAACCTAACAAGCTCAGAAGTCTAGAAGTGCTTCTACTTATTAAATGAATGGTTTCGCAAATTAAAAAAACAAAACATAATGGAATATGCAAGCTTTATAACATGCAGATTTTTTTCTATGATTTTGTTTTAAGCATATTGAATGTTATTCTCAAAATATACTGTAAGTTTAATTAGTTGTGTATCAAAATAAATGTGTAAAAATATGATCGTGAGATGTGTGTTATCATTCATTGATCATTAGGATTTTGGAAACAATGTCAAATTTAATTTTCTCTACACGTTATTTTGGTGAAAGTATAATGTCAATTTACTTTTACTTCCTAAACAAAGGTCATTTCTGATCTTTAAGCTGCACTAATTTTTATATTAACAATTTTTCAAATGAATTTATGTAATGTGAAATGGGTCTCTCATTATGAAAGTAACAACTGGCTCTGCAGTCCACCTCAGTTCTATTTTGTTATTTAGCACGTTAGCTCATAGTTTCAGTTTTACAGCCTGCGACTTCACTGTTCTGTTTTCCACCACTGCATCCACTTTTATAACTTCAGCTGCAGCAGGAGTTTTCAGCAAGACATCTCTGATAACCCATCATACGCTACCTGCCCAGCAACAATTATTATTAGTAATAATAATTGAATATTTTTTATAATTCTTTTTAATTCTTTTTATATGCATGCTATTTCCATTTATGTGCATTTTAGTCAATCGAGCAAATAGCAGGTTATGATACAATTGGTTACTGTGTCTATAGGGTTTGTATATACACTGTTGCCCATAAAGTTGGAATAATTTTGTTTTCAGACACAGTCCTCTGTTTATTCCTATTTAAATGCATCAGTAATCACTTTTGTCCTGGTGCAATGATTACATTATGTGTCCCAATTACCCAGGTGAAATGAAATAAATCACATTGTCACAATCATTTCATGGAAAGAGGTAAAAAATATTTTATTCCAGCTTTATGAGCAACAGTGTATATATATAGACTTTGTATGTGAACCTTTATAATTGCACTATCCCTACATCATTTTTTTCTTTTTAGTTTTAGTATAGCCTATATTTTGATAGATGATGTTCCTCATGTTATAAGTAAAATATTAACATTGCGTGTAAATACGGATTTATTTTTTGTTTTGTTTGTTTGTTTTTCTCCCCTAAAATGCAGTTAGCAAAACCTTTTTTCAGCTTCTCAGGCTACATACACTCTCAGCAACCTTTGCTGATACGGTAGGGAAGGTTGTAAGTCACCTGAGATGCAAAAGTGAGGACAGAAAAGCTTGCTGTGTTTGTTAAACTCATGGCTGTGAGCACATGTAAAAAAAAAAGAAAAAAAGAAAACACACTAAGATGAGCATATTAACATTTTTATCGAGTCAGGTCTTCCTGCATTCAGACTATAGTGACGGGACACTCAGAGAACAGTGTGTGGGGTGACTTCAGGAAGAAAAGCAGGGCAGGCCCTCGCAGTCACTTCCTTCCTGTATGCAGAATATAGCCGCTTGCTGTAAACAGAGAGAGCAAGAAGAGGGAAGAGAGAGGCCGCGAGATAGACAAATTCAGAAAAAGCACAGAATCTTTTAAAATATATAATTCATACAACAGGGGACACTCCACTCCGACAAGGTAAGTTAAGTTCCCTACATTCCTCTAAAATTTACCTTAAAATTGAATTATGAAATAATCAGTATTTATGGTTATTTGTGGTCATCATAATGACCAGAACAAACAGAAGATTTCATAGTTGCACCTACTTGTATCTTAGACTGTTCTGCCTTCAGATAGTATTTCTGCCAAAATTTCCCACAGCACCCGCTTCCACAGTTGGGTTTAAGGCATGGATTAGATTATGGTTAGGTGTAGCACGAATAAGTGGTTGGGTTTAGGGATTTGGTCTGGTTAGGGTTAAGTGCAGCGGAAACACACTTCAACACAACACCTGCCTGAATGAGGAAGTCGAAAGTCTCAACAGTGAGGGCAATGTGTGGCACATGTGAGCCATGTAGATGTTTTCTGATGTAAGTGTTGTAAATTTTATATTATGCACCTAAGTACTATGGTGGTAAATAGAAATCATGTTTAAGCTTTTCAAACCAAAAGCAAAGCAAATCCTAAACCTGAAGAATTACACTTGAAAATGAAATACTGTCGATTTCAGTCCTCTCTGTTTTTTTTAAATGCTATATGAAGCCACTGTAAACATAATGAACCTTTAAACTCAAATTCTAATGATAGGTTTTGGCTGTTTGTCTAAAGTTTAAAATTGTATCAGTTGTAACAATCAGTTGTAGCAATAATATAATTTTGTCATCCCACAGATTATCTGAAGCAAAGAAATGAATTTTTTCACACAGTTACAAATGACAATCCCACCAAGAGAGACACATCCTATAATACAATGTATAATCGACAAAAACCTCAAGAACCTCAAAAAATTACTGAAAGACGGTGACATTCATAAAGTCTTCCCATGCATTAAGTGCAATGATTATATCACCCCACTGATTGCTGCTGTTGTAAATCACAAGGAAGATATTTGCTCTTACCTTCTACAACAGGAAGTGGACCCAAATGCTGCTTCCCAAAATGGCTGGACACCTTTGCATTTTGTCTCAATGTCTAGAGCACCACCTATATTTGTCAGGAAACTACTTGAAGCAAAAGCTCATCCAAATGTATGCACTCTACAGCAATACACACCACTGCACATTGCTGCCATCAATGACAGGGAGGATGTTGTGAAAGAGCTCCTGTCTGCTGGTGCATTGGTAACAGTGTTACCTTCTCATCCTGAACATATTAGTCACAATAAGAAAATAGTAAAGATAATTCACAACTTGGCATCCAAGGGACATGAACTATGCTCCAAAATCATATATTTTGTGGAAATGGACATTGCTGTGCGAGAGAAACCACATGAAGAAGTGTTCAGAACTTTTGACAGTCACATGTTGCAGGAGGATCCTCAGACCCATCTGACCATGATTGAAATACTTTTCACTGTAACTGGAAAAGGTGAAGAAAAATACCGCAAGGAAAGTATGAAATGGCTGAAGGACACTGAAAATGTGAACTCCTACATTGATGGGGCAGTGAGTCGCTTTCCAAACATTCTCCAGCAAAATGTGTGTCAGGCAATTGATACTTTACATGCAGTTTTCTGCACAATGAAGGAGATTCCAAATGAGCAAGCACTAGCTATAATTACCCAACTACTGGAACTACTTTGCTCAAAAAAGAGACCTGATATTTGGCAAGCTGTTCAGCAAACACTGTATGTGATAACACAGAAAACAAAAGGCACAAATGAATGGGATCGCAGTTTTATTGAGGAGTTATGCAACACAATTGCTCCCTTTGTGAAGGATCAATACTCCTCTGACATTAGAGTCTACACATATGGCATATTTGCAAACTTGCTCTCAGTTGAACATGCTCTTAACATCTTTACAACAGTGGGGATAACTTCAGTGCCTGACGACATACTGACATCTGCAGATATGAAAATGAATGATAAGCTGAAAGAAGCGCTCAGACGATTGAAAAATCATTTCAGCCATACAGATGGGGAATGTGAGGATGGTACAGCCTCACCTGAAGCCAGGAAAAAGAAGAAGAAGAAGAAGAAGAAAAAGAGGAAGAAGTCAGAAAAGACTGAAGACCCAAATGATGAAGTTTGCAGTGCTTCAATTGATCCAGCAGCAGTTCCTGTTGAGGAATCAACTTCAAATGCAAAGCCGTTGCACTTAAATCCGACTAAATCACAAGTGACACAAAAATGGTCACCAATCAGCAAGAGGTGGAGGGAGAAACTAGAGAAGCTTGTGAGCACTGATGAAAGGAAACTCACCAGAATTAAGAGCATCATTTATGTAAATGATGCAGAATTGCGCATAGCAAAGGGAAGTGATGGTACTGAAGTCTTCTTGGGGCTGAGAGATGATGGCACTGAAGTTGCAATCAAGAGAATGTCTAAAAGCAACTATCAAGTTCTGAAGAATGAGGAAGGACTTCTACGACTTCCAGAGCTCGATCATCCTTTTATTGTACGATACATTGACTTTGCGGAGGATGAGAACTTTGGATATCTTTGTCTTCAACTCTGTGAATACACCTTGGAAGAATATATCAAAAAAACTGATGACAGTGAGCTGAGAAAGAAACTTGTCAGGGAGGTTCTCGAAAGTTTAAGTGCACTTCATTGTCAAAATCCTCCAATTCTTCACCGGGATCTCAAACCACAAAATGTTTTGATTGGTAAGACAAGTTAGAAATACACTGGAATGATGGAAATCAGTATCTGTAATTCAAAAAATGCAATAATATTTGAATTTTTAATAATCATGCATGTTTTTTTTCTCAATGTTATTTTATCCTGCAGATGTTAAAGGAAAGGCCAGATTAGCTGACTTTGGCATAAGCAGACGTTTACTCAAAGGCCAAACAACTTTGCGCACAGCCAGCGCAGGAACAAAATGCTGGATGGCCAAGGAGACTTTAGCAGGAGAAGCCAACATACCATACAAGTCCAACACTGATATACAGGTCAGTTTTTCAGCTACACAAACTTAATTGATGACTTGGTGAGAAATACTTCCCTAAATGCTAATATGTTGTGTAAATTCTTAAGGTGGCGGGGATGCTGATTTATTATATCCTCTCGAGAGGACACCATCCGTTCGGTGATAAACCGTATGAGTATGAGTACAACATTCATGAAGGAAAGTACACTTTGGACCATGTTCAAGACATTGTGGCAAAGGATCTCATTGAGTGGATGATCCATGAAGAACCCAAGAACAGACCTAAAGTGGAACAATGCTTGAGTCATCCTTTCTTCTGGGCCTGTGAAAGGTGAGGAAGAAATTCTGATGGATTGATTCCAGTTAAGATTCTTGTCAAATTATTTTTTTTAATTTACTGTGGGATGGCCCAGATGTTCTACACTTACTAGACTGAATGGCACAAGACGTGATACAATAATGGTTCTCATACAATGTATCTTAACAATTGCTGATCTTAGCCCCAATAACAGTTTGATGTTTTCAGTTTAGGGTGAAATGTAAGAATGTTTCCATCCCTATTCTGAGTAGTAACACTCAAACGCAGGTTGAAACCTGCTATTCTAGCCTCATCCTGGCTACATCCCACTGTCTCAACGATCAACAATTCTGTTTTTTACATGTCTTTATGGTCTCTATGTAGTGAAGTGTAAAAATTAATGGAATGTCTGCACCAAACTTGATGGCAAACCATTCAATAGACATTTCACTCAAACCCACAAGTGTCACCTTCATCGTGACACTAGAAGAAAAGCCAGAAGATTACCAAAATCATTACGATTCATCCTCCGTGAACCATGAATGTTTTCTGTACCAGTCCATCCAGGATATGTTGAGATTCAGCAGGATAAGTGAAAATTTGGACTTACTAGTTTCAATGAAAGTTAGAAATCTCAAATTGCTGCTGGCATTATAGAGGTCAAATCAAGGGAATTACCATCTATCTTCTGAGGTTGGATTTTCAATTATTAGCGATGTTATAACTGTCATTGGGATTTTGAATGAAGTTTTTGTACTCTTGAAACATAACCTGGAGGTTCTGGTTTCACTTCAGCTCTCTTCAGAGTGGAACAGAGCTGCTGATGCTAGCCTAAACTATCTTAAACTATAGTATCAGCCAGGACCAACTCCTACAGAGTAGATGTGCCAGTCTTGAACTGGGTTTTTTTTCTAACATAACCTGTGACTCCACATAATATTATAGTTAAAGCAGCTAATGAAATGCTTGTTGAATTTATAACACTTTTATAAGTCAGTAAAATCCATTCCTCGGACCCTTGCTCTTGTGTTTCATTCATGCACACCTCTTTGTGGAGAAATCCAAAGCATGCAAAGTCTGACGTGTGTGGTTAAGGCTGCTCAGCAACAATTGGACAACTGCTGTTTGGAAGAGGGGTGTAGCAAAAGATCAGTTTCATCATTTTTAAGTATCATATGATAATTTTTTAGGATTTGGTATTTTTCCATATTGCTTAACTTTAACTTTTTTTCAGGAGAGTAGTTTACCTGCTAAGGATTGGTAACAGGACGGAGGTGGCAAACTATCGAAATGCTGACAAGGAACTGATTTGTTCACTGGAAGAATGTGCTGGGGAGAAATATTTCAAACAGTGGAAAAATAAGGTGAGTACAATATAAGTGCTGCATCGTCTGTGTTCCTCAATACAACTTCAGGTTTGATTATTTTATGGTTTTCCAGTTTCCACCAGAGTTGGTCCAGAAGATGGACGGCAGGAGGAAACCCTATCATGAAAACACATTGGGATTACTTCGCTTCATACGAAACCTCCATGAGCATTAGTGAGTGAAACCAAAAAGTGATACAGGACTAAAGCTAAAGTTATACACTTGGCTTAGCTTGGGAGTAAATATTTCAGTGCCTCTCACAATCTTAACCAGTAGATTGAGTTTGCTCAATATTAAACATTAGTTTTTTCGAATTACTTTAGCTAATAGAGCCAATTATAAAATTGCCCTTTTCTTTGCAGTGCCACGGATGCAGCCCAAGTTGATGTGATGACAATATTTCCTGATCTCTTTGGATGTGTTTTCACGTTTGCTAAAAATCACGGGTGGAATTCAAAGACTCCCCTGAAGGAAATGTTTCGTAGAGAAGATATCACCACCAGCTTTGTCAAGCTGTCCATAAGCCATGAAGAGCACCATGGTGTCCCAGTTCAAGAGTCTGATCCCAGTGGAAATTGGATTCAAAAATGATTAAGGACTTCAAAACATTAGAGTCTTATAAGCTGTCACAGAAAAAAACTATATAATAGGCAAAACATCAGCAATACTGGGACTCAAGACTGCACTAGAAATCATTATTGCAAGACTAAGAACTAAGATCAACAAGTTTTTGTACATGTATTGTAAATAGTCACCATACTCCAAAGCTTACAGTAAGTCAGTAGTCTATAAAGGAATCACATACTGAAGTACATACATTTATTGTCACTTGTGTATTTTCATTTTTTAACATTTTATACTTTAGTTCAACAACAATCTGTATAAGTTTGTACTTTTATTTTGCCACATTATCTGATGGCTGCTGATTCTACTTATTTTTCAGTTTAAAGCCCACAGGACTGAAATGTCACTGTCGGGGCAATAGCTCATTCTGCAAATACAGGAGCAAAGTAGTGAGGGAACTAGTGGAACTAAGTGTAGGTTCGCAGCATGGGAGAGGTCCTCAAAAAGGTTGTGATTAAAAGTAGATGCATAGTTTGCCAGACTATTAATTTTATCTAAAGCAATATTTGTGCCTCTCCGGGCCCCTCTCCTCCACTGAGAGGTGCACATGGTTTAGTGCACTCTTGTTGGGGGGTGGACAGAAGTATTTAGTCTCTAAATGTGGTTTTGCTGTAATGCTCAGGAGTTAAGGTGAAGCGGTCATGCCATTTCACAAAAGTAAAACCAGGCTACAAAGCACTAACACAAAATAGAGAAGAAAAACTGTAATCCTTTGATCATTCTTAGACAAGATGAAACTTAATGTGTTTATACGGCACACTTGTTACCGTGGCAAACAATTATGTGCCCTCTCATTTCAGACACTGACCACTTCCAGCCGTACATCAAAATAAGAATTTACAATAATATGTAGGCCTATTTCTCTTCTTTAGCTTTTAAATTCAATGAATAATATCATGTGAATAAGATTGATGAAATAAAGTTTTTTTTTGTTTCAACATGGTTGTGAATCACTTGTTTTAAAAGAGGCATTTCTTGGTTGCCAATTACATAGCCTACTGGTGCATTAGTATTAGCTAGGGGCAGAGTCAGGCAGCAATTTGATGTTTCTCTATTTTTTTAAAAATCTTTTTTTATTTTGTCATAAATTTGCTTCCATGTTTATATTCCATGAAACCCACCCACACCCAACAAACACTAGAAGTAGGCCTACACACATGGCTCCCATTGAACAACCATGATTATATTTCCCCACATGACAATATGCAGTGGGTCGCCTTTTTGACAGAATAACTGTTCATTTTGTGTCTTACATAACTCTGGGGTGTTATTTAAACTTTACTTAAGGATTGCAGGCAGCTCAACTACAACCTGTCTGAACATGTCCAGCGTAGATTAACATGAAGTGTGCTCGGGTGGAGCAGGGGAGGGGCGCTAACCGAGAGACGTGTGTCCAGCTGCTTTTCCGGGTTCTTGCTGAGAGTACACAGCCGTTGATGCTGCTGTGGGCGCGCGGCGGAGTAGCTATTATTGTTCAGCATAGCTACTGCTTTATAGACAGCAACAGCGAACCTGAATGAAGTGTGAAGTTTGGAAAGACAGATCCTCCATACTCGCAGGAGACATCTTATAGGCTACTCTTGAAGTATAAATTGTGTAAGTCGTTACTTTTTCTAACTTTCCAAGTCTAAAGAGTAAAACTCAAGTTCAGTGCTAGCTACTTGCAGCCCAGTATTAGGGCATTAAGGACCACAACCTAAAGATGTGGCGGCGTCAGACGCCGCGGATATTTCTGACTTATGAAATACATCCATTGTGGATGTCAGCATGTTGATTTTAACCTTTATTGGTTAAAGGTATATATTAGCAGATGCAAAGATCGTAATGTCTTTATTTGTGGTTTTAAGTCTGTGGACATATTGTAGTCTACCACTTGCTGAGCGTTTTGGACATGTTAAATGCTGAGCCTGCAGCTTTCAGGAAACGTTCCCCAGAAGTGTGGCCCTACATTTACTGATACTGGCAAGACTGGTCTGACAGTGTGGCTGTGATGTTGACAAGAACAGAAAAGTTCATTCATCAAAGATGTCTGTGAATGTTCTCATTCGTCCAGGTCATAGTTATCTCTCTCTCAAATTAAATCGAAGGCAACTGGACTTGTATTTGTCTGTGGAAGACGTTTCGCCTCTTATCCAAGCGGCTTCATCAGTTCATCATGTATTGGTCTCTCTAGTCCGCACTAGTCTGACAGTCCACAGACAAATACAAGTCCAGTTGCCTTCGATTTAATTTGAGAGAGAGATATTCATCAAAGATGTTTTTTAAATGTTGTGTGTGGTGGGTTTTTAGATCCACAAGTAAAGATGATTCAAACATTGACTCCTTTGCATTAATTAGAAACATGAGCATTTAGGACCACACAGAGTTTCTTACATTGAGAATTGACATTAGGCCTTTTACATTAGCATGTGCAGGTGAAACAGAAACTAGATTAGATCTTAAGCAATACTTGAGCAATACCGATACTGAAGTTTAAGGGTTGAAAAAAATGTGATCATGGTATCAGTGCCTTAAATTAGCAAACTATGTAATAAACCTTTTGGCACTACTTGTGTATTAATTAGAGCAACATTCTTACAAACCAGCAATTGTTATCAACAGGTTCATTAACTCAAAAACTGACTATAAAGGAACCAAAAGAGAAAAAAGATCAAGCATACAATCACTTGTACTCACTTTATTAATGACTCGTCAGCCCTTAGGCCATCATCAGATTAAAATTGTGAAGAATAACAGCACCAAATATCATAACCAGTATATATAAGCATAACCTGGGTATTTCTCTACTGTCATTTCCTGTTAATTATAAGCAGACACAGAATATCTTACTTTATCAAGATAAATGTAAATTATCAATATTTAATGTATTTTCAGTGCATGGAATATATATTCATGAAAGACCAAAATACTACTTCCTGATTAGTGACATAGAATTCCTTGTCTGATATAATCAAACTCATGAATGGTGGTCATATATTTTGGTCTGACTGATAGTCTGAAGTTTTGTTTGGCATCAAATAACTAACAGTAATCTCATGTTTTTGTCTTCTCGTAGATACTCTGAAGCAATGAATTGAATATCATCCTATACTTACAAATGGAAGTCACATCACAAAAAGCACCTATATTGCAATGCATATGTGACAACAACCTGCAGGAGCTCGAGAATTTACTTAAAAACCATGACATAAATGAAGTTTATCAAGAGTCGGATGATTGTATAACCGCACTGATTGCTGCTGTTGTAAATCACAAGGAAGATATTTGTGCTTTCCTACTGAAAGAGGGTGCAGATCCAAACAAGGTGTCAGAAAATAACTTGACACCTTTGCATTATGTCTCATTGTCTAAAGCTCCACTTGCTTTTGTGAAAAAGCTGCTAGAAGCAAAAGCTGATCCAAATGGATGCGCTCTCCAGCATTTGACACCACTGCAAACTGCCGCCATCCATGATAGGAAAGATGTCATGAAAGAGCTCCTATCTGTTGGTGCATTGCTAACATTGTTACCTGTAGAACCTGAACATATCAATCACAATGAAAAAATAGTTCAGATGATTGGTAACATTCCATCAAAAGTAGATGAATTGTGCTCCAAGCTAAAAGATTTTTTGCTTGTAGAAAAAGCTGCCCGAGAGAAAAGAGCTGAAGAAGTGTTCAGAAATTTTGACAGTCGCTTGCTACAGGAGCATCCTCAAACCCATCTGACCGTGATTGAAACGCTTTTTGATGTACAAGGGCCAGATGGTCAAAAATACTGCCATCTTAGTATCAAATGGTTGAAGGACACAGGAAGTTTCAACCTCTACATTACAGGGGCAGTGAGTCGCTTTCCAACCATTCTCCAGCAAAATGTGTGTCAGGCAATTGATACTTTACATGCAGTTTTCTGCACAATGAAGGAGATACCAAATGAGCAAGCACTAGCTATAATCCCCAAACTGCTGCAACGGCTTTACGCAGAAGAAAGACCTGATATTTGGCAAGCTGTTCAGCAAACACTGTATGTGATAACACAGAAAACAAAAGGCACAAATGAATGGGATCGCAGTTTTATTGAGGAGTTATGCAACACAATTGCTCCCTTTGTGAAGGATCAATACTCCTCTGACATTAGAGTCTACACATATGGCATATTTGCAAACTTGCTCTCAGTTGAACATGCTCTTAACATCTTTACAACATTGGGGATAACTTCAGTGCCTGAGGACATACTGACATCTGCAGATATGAATATGAATGACAAGCTGAAAGAAGCGCTCAGACGATTGAAAAATCATTTCAGCCATCCAGATGGGGAATGTGAGGATGGTACAGTTTCTAGTACTTCATCTGATCCAGCAGCAGTTCTTGTTGTGGAATCAACTTCAAATGTAATGCCATCTCACTCGAACCCCAGTAAACCACTAGTGACACAAAAGTGGCTACAAATCAGCAAGAGGTGGAGGGAGAAACTAGAGAAGCTTGTGAGCACTGATGAAAGGAAACTCACCAGAATTAAGAGCATCATTTATGTAAATGATGCAGAATTGCGCATAGCAAAGGGAAGTGATGGTACTGAAGTCTTCTTGGGGCTGAGAGATGATGGCACTGAAGTTGCAATCAAGAGAATGTCTAAAAGCAACTATCAAGTTCTGAAGAATGAGGAAGGATTTCTACGACTTCCAGAGCTCGATCATCCTTTTATTGTACGATACATTGACTTTGCGGAGGATGAGAACTTTGGATATCTTTGTCTTCAACTCTGCGAATACACCTTGGAAGAATATATCAGAAAAAATGATGACAGTGAGCTGAGAAAGAAACTTGTCAGGGAGGTTCTCGAAAGTTTAAGTGCACTTCATTGTCAAAATCCTCCAATTCTTCACCGGGATCTCAAACCACAAAATGTTTTGATTGGTAAGACAAGTGAAAAATTTAAAAAGAAAAGTAGAAAAGTATACATAAATAGTAGAATTTATGTTGTTCAATGTTGTTTACTGATTTATCTATCTACACCATTTATCTTGCAGCTGTGACCGGAAAGGCAAAATTAGCTGATTTTGGCATAAGTAGACGTTTACCCACAGACCAAACAACTTATCACACAGCCAGCGCAGGAACAAGAGGCTGGATGGCCAAGGAGACTTTAAAAGAAGACAGTGATGTAGGATACAAGCCGAGCACGGATATACAGGTAAGTTTTTCTGTTGTACAAATTTTCTAGGTGATTAAGTGAAAAATTACTCATTAATTAAACTTGTATGCTAACTTTTAAGGTGGCAGGGATGCTGAGTTATTATATCCTCTCTAGAGGACACCATCCATTTGATGGCGATCACTTGGAACGTGAAAGCAACATTTATAAAGGGAAATACACTTTGGACCATGTTCAAGATGTGGTGGCAAAGGATCTCATCGAGTGGATGATCCATGAAAAACCACTGAACAGACCTAAAGTTGGACAATGCTTAAGTCATCCCTTCTTCTGGACCAGCAAATGGTAGAATCTCTCTTGTCATAACAGTTAACTCAGATTAATTCAACTGATTTGCTATTGTTTTATTGCTTGGAGTTTGTATAGCATTAACAAGACTTAAAAGTCCATATGCTCATGCTAGTGGTTATCATCTTAGTTTAGCAGGTTACCATGCTAATATTTTTGGAGCATGCCAGTACTACAATTTATTTATCCGTATGACAAAAAGGTTTAAGTTTATGGTATTTTGTCAAGCATGCACGCTAAACGTACAATCATTTTTCAGGAAAGTTGATTACTTGATAAATGTTGGAAAGAGAGAAGAGGTGGCAAACTGTCGAAATGGTGACCCAGAATTAATTTCTTCAATGGAAAAATGTTGTGGGGATGTGTCCTACAATCATTGGAAAACGAAGGTGATTGCAACTTCATTAAATTCTGTATTCTTTATTTGGAACACCAAATCATTTAATTTTATCACTCACTATAATTGTGAATAATGTTTGTTGTTATAGTTTTCAGCAGAGTTGGTCGAGAAGATGGACCGCAACAAGAAAGCTTACCCTGAACACATATTTGGATTACTTCGCTTCATACGGAACCTCCACGAGCACTAGTAAGTTAAACTGAGTAAAAAATGGTGAAAGGCCTTAAAAGATCACACAGGAATGAACTTATTCTCAACAACAAAAGACATGCTCTACTTGCTCACTTATAAGAATGCAATGATACTGAGTTTTTTAATTGCAATAAAAAACTCCGTCTGAGGCATCACGGCTCCATTCACCTTCATTGTATTGGGGTACAAAAGTGATAAAATAAGTCCTGAAAATTTTGACATTTTGTCATAGTCCTAGTCTTTGGAACATTGAGGATTTCAAGAATTTGTTTCAAATGATCGATCTGATTCAAATGATGTATTTCATGTTTTCCCCACTGTTTTACTGATTTGTTGGTACAAGTTTAATCCCCTCTCCCTTTACATCCCTGATTTACATCACACCTATCTTCATAGCCCCATAACTTGTTGCTTTCTTTACTTTGTTCTCTTTTTGTTGCTGCTGTTCTAACAATTATTACTAATAATAATAACACAAAAACTTTGCTCTAATCTGTTTTTTAACAGCAATTGTTGGATATTTTTGCCTTTTCAGGGCCCTAAAATTCTTAAAAGATGAAAAAAATCACTGGTTAAATGTCACAACCAGTAGACATGCAACTTAAGATAAGGGATTGCAAGTAGATACTGCTTATTTTGAAGGGGTCACAAGCAAAACGTTTTGGAACTGCTGGTGTACTATAGGTGACTGTCATGTATTTTCTTTGTAATATAATTTTATTTCTCTGTTTGCAGTCTTGAGGATGCAGGCAAAGTGGATTTGATGTCACTGTTTCCTGATCTCTTTGGATGTGTTTATAAATTCTGCAAAAGCCAAGGGTGGAATTCAGAGAGTCCCCTGAGGGAAATGTTCACAGAAGAAGGGACGAGAGACACCACCAAAGATCTAATGCCTCTCAAAAACAACGAGGAACATCTCACTCTTCCAGTTCAAGAATCTCAAAACAGTTTTACTGAGCCAACTGCAAATTGACACTAGGCTCATCACTGCAGCCTTTCAACTTAGCACGGTATTTACTAAGTGGATGTGTGGATTGGATGAACTGTGGCTAAATGCAGCAAGACCAGATGCTGGGTGTTTGTGCTGCAGATTTTACACTTGCACATTTTTCATTGATCTGAAGATACAAAGTACACTATAAAGGTAAAATGTAGATCTGCAAGCTTCTGGATAATGAGAGAAATCTGGTCCACTGGCAGACTGCTTAACTTCACTGCATAGGTGGATGTAGAGAAGATTAGAGCATTATTGTTTGCAAGAGAGAACCCCACTATCTTTCTGATTAAAGATGACAATGATCAGGGTTTCCTTAAAAATCCAGTATAAGAAAAGCATTTGGTTTCACAGAGACCCCTGTCTCCTATAACCACACAACCCGCCATTGGTTTCAGATTTGTTTTTAGATGAATCTACCCCCTTCACAAAACCTATTAAAAGGCTTGGGAACAATATCTTTAGGTAGTAATTTCTGTGAAAACTTGCACCTAAATGTATCCAATCATGTTCTATGAAATTGAGACACCATTAGATTTAAAATAAACTGATTCCTGTTTGATTAGGTTCAATATTTCCATCAAGGTGTCCTGCATGTGTAAAGTATAAGTATTGTAAGGGGTCTCTAGTCCTCAAACTTTGTCTTGAAGTTCGGCTTTGAGGTGTCGCAATGGAACTCATATGTGAACCTCAGGTCCAGAAATCTCAGCAATCTTACCTTGGTCATCAGAATGAGTAGATTGTCATCTTTCACTATGGAAATTCAGCATGGTAATAGAGAAGAAATTGATTTGAATCCCTTTGGAACTACGGCATTACCATAATGATGATTGTCTGAACTTACTGCTGGGACTCAAAGTACCTGTAGATTTTAGTTTATCGTTTTTTCTTTTTGATCATGCTGTGTGTATCTGATAGGAGTGAGTGTAAATTAAAATGGCTACTTTTTTATTTACTGGGCCACAATAGAGCTATTCCATTTCTCTTTTTTACTCACACCTTACAAATGAGCTTCCATTTTTCTTTCCATGTATGTGTGTATGCCAAAGATCATTTTTTTATTACTGTAGTTTTAGCATAGTGATAATATAATTTTTGACTAAAAAATGAATTTTTGTTGTGAATTGTTTTCTCAGTTTTAGAGAAATTAAGGTAGATTAAGCATTAATGTACTTGTGTTCCAGCAAAAGTGTCTCACTTTTGGCACTAAAGATTGCGAAAGGAATAGAGTGTGGTTATTCATTCAGAATTACACTGATGAGCTTCATTAACATTTTTTAATTGAAGATAATTTTTTTGCAAATGTGAAAAACGTAATGAAAATGCAGATGTTATTCTCAAAATCTTCTATACATTTAAACTTGACTATTTAAATATGTAAAAATATTATATTTCATCATGTTTGTGTTATGGTTATGGCACAATATCAGTAAAAGATCATTTCTCCCCTCTCAAATCACTTAATATACTGTTAATAAGTTGTATAAAAAGGGAGATTTGATGCTGAATTTAGTCATATTAAAGAGTTAAATGTAAACATAGCATATTTCTATATAATTTGTAGGCCATTTTCATTAAATGTTTGCCCTATTCAAAATATGCTGACAGGGACTGGCTCTGTGCTTTTATTGTGAAGGAAGCCTCAATTTTTGTTCCGCTATTGCTGATTCCTATTCAAAAGTGCCCCGGTGCTTTATTTCCAAATAGTGTAGGTTATCCAGTGTTTCATATCGAAATGGTTTTAAATTTACACAAAATTATTGCTCAAAACTCGCTTTCTTAAACAATTATTTTATTTTTATTCGTGTACCGGAAGTTTTTTTTCTGATCTCATCGCGCGCGACTTGACAGCAGAGCCACCAAAAGTGACGTTGCAGGATAAACAAACAGAGTAGGTGTCGGCGAGGCAGCTCGAACAGAGGCTGAGAGGCAGCCTGTATCTTGACATTGTGTATAATATTTTGGATAATGCAGTCTTCTAAGAGGAGTGAGAGTGACTGGCAGGGGCTCGTCAGCGAGGTAAGTGAGCACCGAATACCATGAAAAGCTGCTGCAGAGACGGGCTGTCGTGGACGCTTCCCTGCTCCATATGGAACGAGCTTCAGTCTATTGGCTTAATACACAGGAGCTGTTAAACATCTCATAGCAAACTCAACTTTTCCGTCTTTAGCTACATAGGCTCCTTATGGATGGGTTAAGCTAACATGCTACACTGTCAGGCCGATAGCAACCGACCCCAGTAACGTTCCTGCCCACCTCTTAAACACACATAGTGATATAGACCAGATACATCACCCACCTGTGGGACCAGATTTACTTCTTAACATACGACCGCTATGGACATATGAATAGTTGTGAATATATTATTTGGAGGTTAAAACGTAAATAATCCCATAAATTGACTGTAAGGAGCATTATATAGCCTACCGCTAAAATGCATTCATGGAAAAAAAGAAAACAGCTTTTAGATAACTCACCTGTGATTCTCAATATGAATTAAATTGCTGTAATCAGTTGCACTCTACATTCAAAAAACATTAATGCTGAGTGACCCACAATACCTGGTCAGGTAGGGATAATATATTTGAATCATTATTGAAAAACTGAATGAGTAAATCAGATATTCAGAGATTCTTGCTGCCTTGAGGGACTGTTTATTCAACTGTGGATTAGAAGGAACTTCCAACCTGTAATTGGAGGACATGACTGATATTCTAATGATGAAAACAACTGTTCTTTCTTAAATTTGGATGACGCTTTATGGCTCTATCACAGAGCATAACAGTAGAGCTGAAACGGGTCGAATTGATTAGTTGATCAGAAATTAGTTGGCAACTACTTTCATAATCGGATTGCTTTGGTAATTTTTCAAAAGAATGTTTGCTTTCATTGTTTTAAGTCATATTAAACTCAATATATTTAGGTTTTGGACTGTTGGTCACAGAAAACAGGCAATGTGATGACATGACCTTGGGGTTCTGAAAACTGTTATGACGTTTTCTCTATTTTCTGACATTTTAGAAAATGAGAATATAATTGTCAGATTAATTTATAATTAGATGAATCATTAGATGCATCTTTACATAAAGGAATAGCATGATTGGGGTGCAAACCATACTACAAACTTTACTACACACTGCTATATTCACCTCTGTGAAAGCAGGTGGTGTTTAATTTGGTTATGAGCTGGTCTGACAGCTATCAAGGTTTACTCTCTCCCTTCTGCTGTGTCTTATCTGCACTTTAAACACTTGGTTCCAGTATGTGTTTTTCCACCTGTGGGGAACTGGTCTGGGTTGGTGTCATGTGTGCAGTCAAGTAATTTGACCATTTCCATCTCACAGTAGAGACTGTAGGAAATTATAAAGCAAAATTAGCACATACAGCTACAATTAACCGTATCCATTATATTGTAAGTGATAATATCTCTGCTCTCTGTTCTGTCCTTGTGTATGGGGTGTGTGATAGTTCCTGGTGTGTAAACGTAAACTGGAGAGTAAGAAAGAGGCCCTGCTCATTCTGTCTAAAGAGCTGGATACCTGTCAGCAGGAAAGAGACCAGTACAAGCTGATGGCCAACCAGCTGAGGGAGCGTCACCAGGGACTCAAGAAGAAGTACAGGGAACTCATTGTGAGTGATGTTTATTTGTCCATGTTCAACCAGCTTATTCTTGCTTGAAGACAAATGTATGCATAATGAAATATTTGCAAGTTGTATCTGATGATAAAGCTTATTCTAGTCGTATAATTCTCTTCATGTTTCAGGATGGTGATCCGTCTTTGCCACCAGAAAAACGCAATCAAGTAAGTTGCTGATTTCTTACTTGCATTAGTGCTAAAAATACTTGCCTTCATTATGTTACAGTGTAAATTCTATGGTGTGCTTAAATCAAGTGGTTCTGTGACCAGAGGTCACATTAAATACAGGATCACAATGGACAAACAACCTCATAATACTAAACAAACACAGATCACATGCTGACTTAGTGACACTGAATAGGTCAACTTTTCCATGTAGACTTGAAGAGTCATTTATGACATTTCACAATAAATACTTGCTCACAAAGGTTCAAGACACACACTTGACCACATCATTTTTGTTAGGAGAAATGTCAGGGTGGATTTGTCTTGTAGGACTCCTGTATGACGACAGTTGAAGAGTTGGCTGTGGAATAGAATTAGAAAAAGGACTGTTGTTTTTTAGAGGACAAACAACAAGCACACATCAGCGTTATGAAAAGGATAATGCCGACATGAACACTACTTTGCTTTTGTACACAGTAAATAATGTGACTCTTGTAAACTGGTTGTAGAAATTTAGACTAGGAATAGACTGAGAGGGTTTTCTGGTTCTGATAGTGATTATTTAGAATTCTGTTTTCATATAGCATATATATCAGCCAATTTATTATGTGAAGCACTGTATTTTTGTGTTAGTTTTGTTTTCACATGTTCAGTGTGCCATCTGTGAAAGTTGTGAAGCGAGTTGTGACTGCTCTCAGCGTAATAAATAAAAGGGAGAAATCTGCCATTGCCAAGAAATAATTTAGTGTAATTTTTGCTCAGTCTGATGCTCTATCTTTGTCTTTGCACTCTGTTGATCCTGAAAATCTATTTACTCCTATGGGCTCAATGTGTTTGATGACGCACAATTGTTCCTGCATGTTAACAGTTGCTCCTCTGTATGTTATTTCTCTGAGCTGAAGATTGAATGTCTTTTTTTTTTTTTGGTGTGTCTGCACTCTCTTTATTATGGATCAAGAGGCACGTCACCAGCTGTGTTTTGACCATGTAGTCTATGTCTTTCTCCTTCTCTGTCCATTCGTGTTTTTTCTTGTCTTCTCCACCTTCTCCTCAGGTGAACCTGGCTCAGCTGTTGAGAGACTCGAGGGAGCGAGTGAAACAGCTCGCTGAGGAGGTGAAGGAGCTGACTCAGAGGCTTGCGGAGGCCCAGGGGGATAACAAGGTGAGGTTACCGGTGGCACCACACACATAAACGTACATCCAGTTTAAATACCACTCAATTCACCTGACCCCTCACTCTAGTGCCTGTATAAATGTGTTTGAGAGAGGCAGTGAATTTAACATGTTTTTATTTCTACAGCTCCTAAGAATGACCATTACTCGACAGAGGCTGGGAGATGAGGAGGTGGGGGTGCGCCACTTCCCTGCCCATGAGCGTGAGGATCTGGTTCGCCAGCTAGAGAGAGCGGGACTACAGGTTTATACATCTCTCTCTCTCTCTCTCTCTCTCTCTCTCTCTCTCTCTCTCTCTCTCTCTCTCTCTCTCTCTCTCTCTCTCTCTCTCTCTCTCTCTCTCTCTCTCTCTCTCTCTCTCTCTCTCTGTCTCTCTCTCTCTCTCTCTCTCTCTTATTTTTTTTAATTTTTATTGAATTTTTTTTACAAAATTGTCATCCAAAACCAAGGAAACCATATGAAACCTTGATGCCTTTATGTCACATTCACATATTTTCAGTGCAAACCTAAACTTGCTATAAATGCTATAACTTGTGAACAGTTTTAAACAGACAATAAGCCAGGACTGGCTGCCACTAGTATCAATACGAGAATTACGAGATTTCTTGTAATGTTTATTGACATTAAGAACAAATTTATGTTGTCAGCTTCCCGACTACAATAAAAGAAGCAAGTTAAAAAGAGAGAGAGCGTGCAGAATTGCTACCGTCGTCTCTTAATCCATTACTGGACTAATTCTGCCTAATGTGCAAAAATGATTTTTAGTTTTTTATTTTCTACCTAGGTTTCTGAATGAAGTTCCTGTGGCTCTGTAGTTCCTGGAACTATTTGGTCAAAAAGAGACTAATGATACAGAGAGAAACCCATCATAGATTTCTTAAACAAAAGCAGCTTCAGTAGTTCATTATACAGTTCATTCACATTCTGCGTTGTGCATCAGGGACATTCCTCTCTTTTCCTCGGTTGGAAATACTCTAACCCCACCACTACCGTCATTCTCTTCTCTTACAAACACAGTGCTGTACGTACTGCCTTTATGAGGCTCATAATGTTTGCTTTTTTTGAGACTGTGGTGGTGTGGTTTTGGATTGTGTTATACTGATGAAACAATACTTTCCCCTCCTTTAAACCTGCTGTTGAGGTGTACTTGAGCAAGGCACATGATTTCTATCTGCTCTAGTGGAGCCACACAGTTGTAAACAGTTGGGAGCTTCCAAGTTGCTGAATGCGGAAAACAGCGTGTGCACTCTCAGCAAACTCTATTTAAGTAAACAAAACTTTGAAACATCTGTCACCTAAACCTTTCAGCGACTTCTCTTACAAGCACTTTTTACCTGATTGCCTTTTTCTAGATGGAGGACATGGAGCACAACATGAAGGCTCTGACAGACGAGCTGCAGGACGTGAAGGCGGAGCGCAGTGTGTTCAGGGAGAAGGCTGATCGACTCAACATGGAGCTCAACCACATCTTGGGCAACCGCGAGGCTCGCATTATTGATGTGGACGCACTCTGCATGGAAAACAGGTGAGTGGGACACAGAGGTAGATATGTAGAAGACAGAACCACTGTCATTAGTCTCATTATTTCAAGCCTGATCCCCTTGTAGTTCTCAATCTCTCCAGCTTCTAGAGAAACCATGTGTGTTCTATGAGCTGCAGAGTGAAAGCATAACCAAAGTATAAAACTATATAGAAATCTCATTACTATTTTTTTCTTTCAACAGTTTTCCATGTTTCATATTCAAAATAGTGATGATTCTTTGATCTTCATCTTAAAACAAGTAGTATATGTTATGTTTTGCATGTAATCTGCATTCTCATCTCATCAATCATGTTGTATGTGTTTTGACTCTTCTGATCTTAATCGTTGTTACTGTAGGTATTTGCATGAGCGTTTCAGCCAACTGCAAGAGGAGGTGAATCTGCTAAAATCAAACATCATGAAGTACAAGGTACAGATGGCACGTCTCTATTAAAATGTAAAAGTAAAATTTAATTATTTTTTTCTAGGCTTATGAATCCTGACAAAATCACTAAAATTTGTATTCTCATGCATATGCACTAAGAGTAAAAGAGGTTGCTTTTATTTAAAATGTTCATCAAACATGGCAGGGCCAGCTTTATTCTTCGTTTTCTCCTCCCCACAGACAGCTCTTGAGAGGAGGAAAAACTCCAGCACATATGGGAAATCAAACAACAGTCCCCTCACTGGAGTCCTCTCCGCCAAACAAGGTGAAAACACAAACGGTTCCGCTCGCTTTGAATTCTCTTTCAACTCAGACATAGATAGATGCCAGAGCAGCGGATCTGAAAACTGTACAAAATGTTTTCCATCACCTCTGTTTTAGAGCATGTCGGTTAGTTTTTGATCAGATAAACTCTGCAACTGATTCTTTCGTCAGTTTAACAAATCACTGTCTTAAAACACCTTTGTTTCTAGCCGTAAATCATTGCATTATTTAATGAAACTTTTTTTTGCCGATCCTTCAAGCCACCGCCCGGGCACCAGCTGGGTTACTAATTGTATTCTGAGTGGTAGAGAGCACCACTGGCAGGGAAATGAGCCTGCCATGATGACTGACAGTTGCTGGCAGAAGCAGCACAGTGGGCTCTGGAGTTAAAGTTAGGAGTGTCACCTAGTAGACAGCTGTTTCTAACTCTCTGTCTTGCTCTTGTCATGCTGTTTTCCCTGTCTCTTGCTATATCACCCTGTTCTCTCTTTTATGTATTTTTTAAAATTTTGTGAAAGTTTTATTGCTGCATTATTGGCAGACTGTAAGTTATTATCCAATAGCGTGAGGCCATGTTTTCTTCACACTAGCTCTCTGGCTTCTAATAAAAATAACTCCTCTTCTCCCTCCATTCCCTTCCCATCTCTCTTTCTTTTATCTGCTTCACCCGTATTTTTCTTCTGCCCACTCTTTCCCTTCTCTGTTTTAGTCCAGGAGATGCTCCTGGAAGAGAAGGGCTGCAGCCTGCCAGCCACACCTCAGTCCATCTCCGACCTCAAGTCCCTGGCCACAGCTCTGCTGGAGACCATCCATGAGAAGAATCTGGTCATCCAGCACCAGAGGCACACCAACAGGTACTGACAAGCCACATGATAATGATGTTGGAGGAACCCTCACCTGCTCTTCCGCTGACTGCATAAAGCACCGCTTCATAAGGGTCAGCCTTTGAATTCAACAACCATACACACTTACGATGTTTGCCTACCTGTTCTAAGAATCCTCCTCCACCTCCAAGGCAAACACTCCACATGCACACACTATTCATCAGTCCCAAGCGATCCTGACCCTTTCTACTTGGTCTGCAGGATCCTCGGAAACAGAGTTGCAGATTTGGAAAGAAAGCTGAAGACCTTGGAGGTTTCAGGACTGTGGAGCCTTCCAGGTGGGTCTCAAGTCCAAGTGTTAAAGCTTCCATCAAAAAAAAAAAAATACATTGTAGTCTCCTTATTGAAATCTTGAAACGATCTCGCCATAATTCAATATAACATTGAGCTCAATCCAGTTATTAAACAATTACAGAGTAATAACAGTAATTTTACTGTCGTCCAGTATGAAAGTATGAAAGTATAAAACAAACAACTGGTGATTCACTTCAGTGCATGCTTTCTTAATGAGCTGTATTTTAGCAGCGCAGCAATTTGTGATGGATACAAATTACTGTGGTTTGTGTATAAAATGATCATGCTCGTCTATCACCTTGCAATTTTTTAGACTTTTTAATTTTTGTAATCCAGCTAGTAAACTGGGTTTTAAGAATATGGAAATATAGCAAAGTCAAAGAAAATTGTAGCCGTGGTTTGTAATGAAATGACCGTCAAGGTGATAAATACGTAATGCAATCTCAATCTCTGTGTGTAAGCACTCTTAGAGAGACTCTGTTTCAATATTCCTGCACAGAGAAGAAGAACCTGCAATCATACCACACCATTAGCAAACAGCACTGTGTGTGTGTGTGTGTGTGTGTGTGTGTGTGAGAGATTTTGCATACCCTAAAAAACAAACTTGGCATTATCTGATGGTAAACTGTGCCACAATTTCTGTCCCTTTTTATAATTAATATTTTGTTATAAAAATTGAAGAAAATGTTTTTTTAACACTTACAAATACAAATACGTTGCTCGTGATTAATAACCCAAGGATGTTTTATCTAATTGTAGCCAGACAGCTGGTTGTACATGTATTTCACTTCTTCTCTTTTTAATCTAAATACATTAATGAGGTTTTTATGTTCATAACAGTGTGTCTTTCTCTCCTCTTTCGCTGCGTCTCAGGCTTGACCTACCGTGTATCTGTGGGAATTGGGAGTATGTATTCCTTCTGCCCCACTTAGCCCATCCATGCCCTCCGCTATGTCATGCCAGGACAAATCTGGGCAGACGCCCAGAAAGCATGTCACCTCATGCCCACCGTTTGCAATGTGTCGACTCCATTGACCACCCGCTCATGTGTTCGCTCATGACACCACTGAATGAGCCAGGCTACCTGAATATCTCACACTGGCTCTTTTGGTCCAGTGGATCTGTCTTAAATTTTACGCCCAGAGGGAAAAAAAGGATAATTTTTCTAAAATTGGGGTTGGGAATGTTTTAAGGGCAGGGGAGACCTTTTTAAAGCAGCACGCTACTGTTTTGTTTGCACATTTTAAAATACATTCGGATTCTCACCGGCAAGAATTTGAATCAAAAATCAAAATACAAATAGATTGAAGGCTGTCATAGAATAGAATGATATCTGTTGCAGACTGTCAGAGAAAAAAAAATTGATTTTGATAAGCAGAAAGTTTTCTTATTTGTCTAGGCATTGTAGACAAACCAAACCAAACAAGAGTGAGAGGAGAAATAAACAGAGAAATATGCTCTCAAATCTCTTGTATGTGAGACAGTGGAGAAATGCTCCTTTAAATATTGGGGCACAATAAAAATTTATGATGCAAATATTAGTATTCAAAATCACAATTACATATACAGCACCTACTTTGTTTTTTGCACTCACATTCGTGCATTTGTATGGGCCTGTAAAAGAAATACTTTGATGTACACTGTATCTGTAACAGCCTTCATATTTTGCTAAGAGACACGACTGCCAACTGTTCCCCTCCTGTAAACAACTCCCCCACCATCCTCAGGGAAACCAAACTAAAATATAAAAATTGAACACTCTCCTTCCTAATTCAACCAGGAGACCGGATCCGCCAAAAAAACAGTTCCTTCTTGTCCCCACTGGAGGGAGATGTTGTGTCGTGTATGAGCCAGAGCGAGAGGGTGGAGGGGCTGCGGCTGGATGGAGGTGCCCTGTCATGAGACCGTCATTCTCACTGCCATAAAACTGACAAGCATCCATTACTGAAAATGATTGCCCACATTACAAACACATTTAGGGGAATGTGCCGTTATTAGGGAATTTGTAGGCGAGGGCCCAGAGTGCCTGACGACCACGCTGTCCACCACAGTTAGGGAGACAGAGATATCGAGAGAGATGTGAGCGTCTGTGGCCTTGATGTGATATGAAGTTGGGCTGATGGATATTAAAGGCAAACAGGATAGGATAAAGGGGCCTTGGCTGCCTACCTGAGGCCCGGAGAACACTAGGGGTGACTACATTGTCTCCGGGTGAGAGAGAGCGGAAAACAATAACAATCACATTGACGCAGTGAGTCAGATAAAGTTGTGATTGATATATCCCTCCAGTCCACCCCCTAGTCCATCCCACCCCCAAAGCTGAATGAATGCAAGCTGAAATGTAGCACAGAGTGCATCAGATATCGAAAGGACAGAGGTGGATACTGAACGCACCCGTGTAGCTCGGTTTTGGTTCAGTGACAGACTTTTTCCGGTCTCATCTTTTTGTCTCCATGTTTGTGATGTAGAGTTTATGATCTGATATGTTGGGGTGTCATGTCGAGCAGAAAGGTCTGTCATCTTTGCAGGATGGGTGCATACGCATATACAGTATGTTGTATGTGTGTGAGAGGGTTGTGAGGTGGTTAGATGACTGGTCAAGTCACTGGTGCTTCCTGCCTGCTGTGCTGTCAGCCTCTAGGAAATACACTGCTATGCTGAGCCTGGGCCTTGCTCTGCATACCTGATAACCAGCACCACCTTATTATTGGCTTTAAAAGGCAGTCTGCAGAACTCCCCTTAGGTCCCGCTCTCAAAACTTAAAAACTGGCTCAGATGCAGTGGCCTAAGCTTAACGCTTCAGGCCAGTTATCTGAGCTTAATGAAGGAAATACTTGCCTCTGGACTCTTTTGTCTTTAGACAGCTGTAGCATGATACTACAACATCAAAGAATCTGTTATTTGCTTCAAAAACAAATACAGCTCAGGGCAAAGTCAGAGTTTGGGTAGGGAAATTTCATTATATCGATTATATCTGATCATAAACCAAAGAACTTATTGAAATTTTGACCCAGGATCAGCAAATCATAATTCATCCTGAGAGTATGCATGAATGTTTTGCCAAATTTCATGGCAATCCATCCAGTAGAGGCTAAGACATTTCAATCAAAATCACAAATGTCAACCTCATGGTTGCGCTAGAGGAAAAGTCCAGGGAACGTCAAAGTCTTTAGAATTCATCCTCTTGGGGCCATGAATGTCTGTACAAAGTTTCACGGCAATCCATCATATTGTTGAGATATTTCAGTCTGGACTAAAGTGGTGGACTGACAGACAGAGATTGTCATCCCCAGAGCTGTGCTGCTAAAAAAACCTGAACAGGGTTCATTTTAAAAACATGACGATTGAAATCATAGTCTCTGTAGAAGAAGAAAAGGAACTCTTCAGACAACCAACGACTTTGTTGCTTCTCTATTTGTAGAAGCCTCAGAATCCAAACAGCCCCCACCCTGCTTCCTCATTCACTGTTCCCACGTCAGTGTAAACACTGAGCATCCATAACAGTATGGATTGCATTCATAACAATATGGTCTCCGTTCACCATTCATGATTCTCACGCATCGTGTCACCCAGTCATCCATTTTCTCATTCTTCTGTTTGTTTTTGTGCCTCACACTTGGATGGTCAGAGAAACAGGCCGGGTTGTGCCTATTCACAGGGTTTCTCTGAGGCAAATGCTGATGTGCACGCTTACAGATTTACATGCTTCTGTGCGTAGAGTTTTGTGTGTGTATTTGTGGTGTCTGGTTGGTAGTGCACAGTCTCCTATGAGTAGCATATGGTGTCAGCCTAAGAGGCACGCAGCCATCACTAATGAAGACAGATGACAGGGAACTGAAGCCACTTCCTGTAAGCACTGCAATGCATACATGCGTTTGTATGCTATGTGAAAGCACCCACGTTGCAGCATCATACTTGTGCTTGAATGAGACTTCATGTCACTTTGTCTTTTTATTGTCATTTGGAAGTGAAAGTAATGGCGACTGTATGTTCCGTGGTGGTGGTCTTACAGGGACGCGAGACAGTATCACACTGAATGAAAACCTTCAACCACAGCTTCATCCAACACGTGCCACATCACAGCCAAACATGCAGCCCAGAGTGCAGCCACCCAAAGGTGAGTGTGTAATTGTGTGTAGCTGGCTTCTCCTCCCATTGATAAGAGCACCCACCGCTAACGGCATAAACACTGTAATTAGCCACTACGTGCTAAACGCTCCTTGCTTTCTTCCATGTTTAACCCAAGTCCTTTCCCTTCCCGCCTCCACTCCTCTCTGCTTCTCATTGGTGCAAGCTGCCCAAATGCCATGGCATTTTGGAAATGTGAAGCAAATTCTCGCCCGCTGACATTCAGAAACTTCTGCCATCTTCTCTTTGAAAGGGAATGGGGGGTGGGTGGGGGGGCATAAATATGGATGCCAGTTCAAGTAATGTTGCTTTCTTCCTGCATGTTTTTGCGCGTGCGTGTGTGTGTGTGTGTGTGTGTGTGTGTGTGGGAAAAGGTGGCTGGGACTCTGTGTGCAGTCTTTAACCTTTCTCCCTGCACATCCACAAATATGGGTCAGTAATCACCAAAGTGAGAGCATATTTTGGCAGAAAGAAGCAGAACTAAGCTGTTGCTGTTGCTGAGATGCGGGGCGTCACACTTGTCTTGCGTCCCGTTGTCTGGGGCACTGCTGCTATATTTAGCCTGTTGCCATGGAAGCACTTGAGTCACATAAGTAATTGAAATAACTTTCTACATTGACACAGAGGTATAGCCCCAAAAGAGGAAAGTTTTTCTTATGTTTCCTTCTGCATTTTGAAAAGACAACATGAATGATGAAGTGGTAGACGCAGCACATTGCCCTGAGAATCAACAGGCAAAGGGCTTTTTGTACTAAGCTCCTTGTAACATTGTAGCATTTTTCTTTCTGCTTATATATTACAATCTTAGGCTATCATCACCATCAATAGAAAACAGAGCAAACAAAAAGCAGGATGTGCTAAATTAGACATCTTGTTGGTGCATCAGTCTAAGACACGTATATTCTTGTCACCTCTTCTGTCAGCTGTCATAAGGACAAAGATTGCTTGCTGTAATGTTACTGTATGTTACTGCAATGTTAAATGTAACATGTAATGTCCCATATTTTACATGTTTGAAGTGAGATCCATAAGAAGATATATTTGTGGTTTTAAGTAACTCTCAGCTCTAGTAACAACAGGTCAGTGAGCCAATCAGAAGATGGGCTGCTTTGTTGTGACATCACAAAGTTACAGAAGTCCTGAAAGTTCGTTTCTGAATACAGGCTGTGTGTGTGTCTGTGTGAGTGTTTTGATACTTTCATAGTGTCAATACAGAACTTAGATCTGCTTTATAATCAAAGAAGACGTGGAAATCTAAATGTCTATTGCTGTTAATATTTACCAAATTGTTACTGGCTGTTTTTAATTGTTTTTAATATTCAGTTTTTTCTCCTTTTAAAATACATTATAAACTCTAAAAACTCTGCCATTCAGAAAATTAATCGCAACAATTTTGATGATCAGTTTATTGTTTTATTCAATTTTAGCATTAATCATCAAAAAATTCCAAATGTTTGCCTTGATAATATTGTTAATTAAATACATTTGAGTTTTTGATGATTGTTCCAACAAAATCATAAATTTGAATATGTCAGCTGATGCTCTGGGAAACTGTGATGTGAATTTTTCACAGTTTTATGATGTTTCTGATTAACTGAATGATTAAACAGTTCATCAGAAACATAATCACCATATTTTTAATACAAGATATTATTGTTGGTGTTGTTACAAGCTAATGCAAAACACACATTTGTTTTTTGGTAGGAGGTCACGCTAATGTTGCCAGCTAACAAAAAGCAGAGTCTTATATTTAGAGGAACACAATAGAGCAAAAAGTACTTGTTTTCTGACGACCACAGATCAAGGGAGCAATTAAAATGACCAGTTGTCTCATCTCCCATCTCCCAGTTGTGTCAGACGACAGGAGCTCACATGAATCACCGTGGGAATGCCACACGGTTGGCAGCGACCTCGGCACAGATGGCGTCAGCAGGGAAGACACACCTGCGCTGCTCAACAGTCTGGAGCCTCTAGCAGGGGTGGAGACGAATGGGATTGACAGGAGAGGGGGAGAAATAGTGACCCTGACTGAAGATGGCGCCACCCTAGAGCTGGAGGATGGGCGAAGTCCGGTGGAAGAGGCAGGGCATGAGGTAGAAGGGGTTGAAGATGAAGAACTAGGTTCCACGGTGGAGGAAGGAGAAGAGGCGGCCTTGGCGTTGGATGTGCTGCCCACTGAATCAGACCTTCCGTGGCTTCCAATTAAACAAGCCTCTGTCGATCATTCAGAGGTGGGTCATCAGTCATGCGAAACCCAGGACAATGAGTCTAATAATGTACCTGAACATGTAGAAGTCTCTATGTCAATTCCAGAGAACCAGGGCACAGAGGTGTCAAGTACAGGGGAGAGAGCGCAGAGTGACACCTGTCATAGTGACAACCTGGCATGATGTTAAGTCACAGAAAGAAGTTTATTTAAATCCTTATCCGTGTCGTCCTTATTGATGATTGCATTAATCATCCCTAGTTGCATTCTCACAACGTAGCCACCGCTCACCAGCTCTCTGTTCCGCCTGACAGCTCTGTTTTAGTCAATAAAACACAGAGAAAACACTTTCACACTTTCACTTTTCATCCACCGTTGACAGAGCCGGAGGTGCATTTGTATCTAGACAGGCTTGTTACTGCGCAGGAACAGACAATCTTGGAATCAATGGAGTTGCAAACTTCATGCCCTACAGGAAGAGTGTAGCTTTGAAAATAACAAATATGGCAGCCTCAACTCCAGGTCCCCATATTCCCTCCTTCTTTTCCCCTGCGATAAGATAATCCCAATTGTTTGCTTCTTTTCCTCTTCCTAGGGGATGCCAATAAGTGTTGAGCGCTGCATTTCTCTCATGGGGGATCCAAATTGGCTCACCAAAACTTGTAATGAATGTGTTGTACTTGTGTAAATTAATAATATTGATATAAGAGATTCTATTGATGTCTATTCATCTGTACGGGTGAATCTTACCAATCATTCAGTTTTTATTTTGCCTCATTTAGAAGTTGATATTCAGATGAGACTACATGTGCCTTATATGTGAAAATATTTAATGATATTTATAAATATAAATGCATAAACCTGCAGTATTGTTGATTGTTATTTTTCTTTCCAGCAAGCGTAATCGAACTGATGCAACTACAGTAATGTAGCTTAAACACAAGATAAGACAAAATATCTGATTTGTCTAGTGCAGTGACTGATAATATCAATTCAGAGATTTGGAGTATGACCAGCAGTGGTCAATACAAGGATATATCTGACCAAAAAGGTTGGGAACCACTGGTGTACTGACATTGAAAGCTTGACTGATGTTTGTATCAGCCCCCTCCTTAAGCTAGAAACCACACAAGTAGGAGTTTTATCTGATCGAAACTTCACCTCTGTCACAGAAGCTGACTTTGTGAACTGGGTGTAATATTTGTTTGAGCTTTCAGACTCACATGTGGGTTGTTTGATGGTAATGTTCTGAACCAGAAAATGAGGCCAAATCCGCAGAAAATCACTCTGACTAATTTCTAAGTGTTCACAAGGTTGGTCTCTCATTAATTCTAAATGCAGCAGCCTCGGTCTTTTGATTGTTTTACAGATTAGAGCAGCTTAACTTGATTCTCTTCCTTCCAGCCTTGGGAGAGCATTGTTCCAGCATCACAAATCTACAGCGAGTTGTCATAGGAATATTCAAACTCATCTTAAGATGCTAACACATACTCAAGAAGCACTGCAGTTTGGTTGTGTAACTTAAAAAAGACAAAGTTATAAAGACCAGAAGTTTTCCAGCTCTGTAAAATGGATGCACAGACACACCCGTTTTGTCTTCCAGCCAAAGTCCAGAGCCCACTGTGTATTGAGAATCAGTGGTGAGGCCTACTCTTCCTGCATGCAGGTGACAGCTGGCCTCTCCAGGCAGACGCAGCGTCAAAGCCAGAATCCATGAACTGCTTATTCTGCAGAAGGCCACTTGCTATTTTTAATCTCTGACACAAAATAGAGGCGAGGAGAGAGACAGAATTCGAGCTAGGGAGCCATGGTGTGTACCCAGTGTCGGCCGTGTGCCAGGCAGCTGATTTGGCACACGGCAGCGAGCATTTTTTTTTTTTTTCAAGGAGTTTGTTAAGTTTATAAACCAGATGGAATCTGAGCTGAATTGGGAGATGATACCAGTGGGTTCCTCATAAAGTCATTTACCAGATTTTTTTTTTTTCATGCATATGAATACAAAATTAGTGAGCTGTGCATATCTATCAGAAAAAACCCAGTAGTGAGATTCATAGTCTGATTCAGGGAGGATGCGACTGTGGGAGATTTCAGCCCTATTGGCAACTCTTTTGGGCTAGTGAGACATTCCTGTGACATGAATTGAAGCTGACAATATTTATTGTCTGTCCTGCCTTTAGTTCCTTAACCATTAGCCATCACTTTAATCATTCCCTGCAAGGCTTTTTCACTATATCACTTTTCAACTGCAACTTGATTATCATTATAACCTAAAAAAGGTTGCAGTGAAACATTTCAGCAGGTTTTGAAAAATAGTTGTGACTATAAATGATGACCAGAAATTAGAGTGTTATCATCCCATATACTGAGCAATGTTTGCTAATGACAAATCTATCTGTATCGGTGTATATGTCAGTCAATAAGTAATAAGTTGCATACAGAAATGCCACAGATATGTTTGAGGAAATCCATACACAAAATCTTTTTTTAATATATTTTATGTTAAAAAAATCCACAATATATCATATGTGGACGAGGTTATTACCAGAAACCACAAATCTTAGCTGGAATTCATGTAAAGTAAGGCATTTAAAGAACAGGAACAGCATTAGGTGCTGGTACTTGCTAAAGATTCATCAGAGACGTTGCTTCTCCGACGGCTTCCCGTCAGGATCTGACTGGTCAGTATCTGGTCGTGTCACACAGCTGATAGATTCGGGCTCCTTCTCCAGGACCCCAGAGAGGAAAAAAAAGGATAGCTGAGAGCTGTTGTAGCCAATCATCACCACTGCTGATAAAAATGAAGCTATGGTACCAGCAAGTAGCCCATGCCAGAAACTAATCTTAGCCCCTTATCTGTGACAGTAACATCCCCCAATAGAGGGCAAGTAAAAAATGTGCATTGCAAAATGCTCCGATTGGCCCCACGCTGCTGAAATCACTCAGGTGTGCGTTTGCCTCTCTATATTTGTGCCTGAGAGAGAGCTCAAAGGAGGAATCATTTGTATGTGTGTGCATGCCTGTCTTGTGACTTTTGTAGCTTTGTGCTAAGCTGCTACCCTTTCATGCTTTAGATTTTGAGATGGGTTGTACCATATCATATATACCGCTAATCTTATCACAGTATCAACTTGCTTTGTTCTGATCCCAAGCCCCCCACTTATCCCACCCCGGAGTCTGGGTAGTGAGAAAGACCAGCCGGGTCACAGCAATGCGCACCAGCTCTAATAAGTGTGACCAGGGAGCCAGGGGGCTGCAGGATGGAGGAGGGTTTGACACCCCATCATATCTGGGTCCTCCAAAGGTTTGAGGGATGGGGGTGGACAGGGGCATTTGGAGCCAGCAGTTTCCAGGCCAACCACTCAGCAGGGTTAATTACTATACCAACCAGATGCCCCTTCCAGTGATGGTCAATGCCCTTGTGATCCATGCTTCATTCACTCACCTTGCTTTTTTACGCTTACCTGAGTTTTATCATGTGGTGCTTCATAGACACTCGAATTCGCCGAGCCCTGCAGGTTTGCTCCCCAGGTGCTGTGTTTCGAGCAGTGTAACTTTCTGCTCTGTTGCTGACAAGGCTGTTATTATCTGAGATAATAGAGGAAAGAAAAGAACGGGCAAAATATGTCAGTCACCTTTTTCCTGCTCGTTTCATGTGCAGTTAATAGTTCTAATATATCATAGATACGATACGCATGACTGCATCATTTGCTTGGTTTGCACTTTGATGTGGATTCGGTGTCTGCAGTTCCTGTGTGCATTTTCTCATCCCTTCGGCTGCCAAATTAGTATAATATAGTATAGTCAGTTGAAGATAGGTAAAGTGTGTCAGCCTAAAGCTCTACTCCACTTTGTATTGGCCATTTAGTGTTAAGGTAGACGACACCAGGTGATATTGTCCTCCCACATGGGCTTGGCATCTCTTGAAAGGTTTAGGTTGTCTATTAATTTTGTTTGTCTTATTTACACTTTCAGTACTTGCCGAGAGTCAGATGAGAAGATAAATATATCACTCTCCAATACATGTCGGCTAAATATGAAGCTACAGCCAGTTTTGTTTCCAGTTTTTATGCTAACATAAGCTAACTAGCTGCTAGCTTTGGCCTGATATTTACTGGACAGACAGTATTGTCCTGATCACTTAAGTCTCAGCAAAAAGTGTACTGTAAATAAACTGGGACTGCTATCAGCCCTCATGTTCATATAGAAGTTTACGTGATCACAGAATACTGCCTGCTGCTTGTGGTTCTTCGCCCCCTCTGACCTCCCTCAGTAGTTTCCACATTTCCTGGAGGCAAAACTGAAACTGCTGCAACCACAACAACAACAACAACAACAACATGGCTCCCAAGGCCCTGCTGGGAAGCAAGGCAAGCAAAGTCGCAGGATGTTGGAGGAGCGAGAGCTTGCGGACAGAAGATAAGCAGAAAGGCCACACCGGGGGTCAGCACGTAGCCACGGCATACAGTCAGATCTCTATTAAGATAGAAGATGGTGGTCCAGTGCGATAAGAGCCGACGGGACCTAGTGATGTGATATCAGTGATGGGGCACTGGCAGAACATGCCACTGTCCCCAACTAGCGGGGGAATCGGGGGTTGGACCAAACTTGTTGGTATAATGAGATGGTCCTCAATTATCTTCATTAAAATTTCACAGCATTTTGGAAATTTCAGAAGAAAACAATCAATATTTTGACATTAACTTTTTTACATTTAGATTTAAACTTGAAAAAACACTGGTTGAACTACTTTCCAGGATTTTTGGTAACTTAAACACAGCAGCAAAATATTGAACAAGTGTTTTCTTTTCCCAAGCAGTGTTCCCTTCATTCTGTAATCTTGCGCAGCTGTTGCAAAGCAAAAAAGGAGCACAGAAGTAGATATTAATGAAAAGATTTATTCAGGAAGGCAAGCCGCTTTGGTATTTCATCAAAGTTCAAGAGTCTCATAGTTCATTGTAGCTCAACATTTCCTCTCAAATTATGCTACAATACTTGTTCACCAACATAATATGTCATTAGCCACGTGATTTCAATATAGCAGTCACAGCATTCTCAGTTGCGCTTTGTTTGTCAGAAGCTTTACCACAGGACTATTTTCCCATGAACTCGACCTTTTCACTCCACTAACAGGCAGTTTTGTTGCTTGTGTCGTCCATCTGACTCGCCCTGGTTATAAAGGACGTTTCCATAGATCTCAGGCTGACCCAAAGACAGTGTGATGCTGGGCTTCATTTAACAAGCAACACCGCATGAGTGTCCATTCCCAACACTTGTAGGCAGTGTGTGACTGAAATAACCATGAGCAGTATAATAATACTAAAAACACCATATTATTTTGCTGACTTTGCACATCTTCAGGCAGAACTTACCTACTTACTGTCTGATATTAAAACCCACATCAAGTCCCCAGGTTATAATTTTCAAAATAAATGCCTTTTGCAAATAAATCTATGATTGAAAATACATTTGAAAGTTTTGCAAAGCTTTAGCATATTTCTTGTAATCTCCCAATAGCCTCTGTGCCAAGCACTTAATTCTCCATTGTCCAATTTGATGAAATGCCTCATCCTTATAACATTTCATTGGTAGCCGAGAGACTTGTTAAAACTTCTTGTTAATGCTATATTAGCACATTATGCAAACCCACAAACTGCACCGAAAAGTGGACTACAAACTGATGCAACAGAAACACACGACCTCACAGGCAAAGAGCATTTCATGCTTTAGATTTAAAATAAAAAAAAAAACAACTATCAACGTAAGTTACTTATATTGTGTGTTGTTGAATGCACTCCTCCTGACT